TGTAAAGACGGTAAGGCAAAAAGTGCATTCACAGTTTTAACTGTGGCAGCTTGAAAACCACTTAACAATTCCCTGATCTATGGCAAAAAAGCAGCAAAATGATTAAGTGGTTTGAAAGCTGTATGTACAAGGGATTTAGAAGACAGAGTGCATAATGGAATATAGAAAAGCAGTTTTATGACTTTATTCAGCAAAATAGGCTTTGTATATTGCCCTATTTCAGAATTATATCTATTAAGTATAAACTTCAAACAATCGTCACATCTGATAATCTATAAACACAGCATTGGGAAAAATAATTTCCTGGATCATGTTGAAAGTACTGATTTATTTATCCCTTTCTATTACAGCTTCTCTTGGTGGATAGTAAAAGCAATTATCTGCGAATCTTTACTTGAAGTTACAAAGGCCTGATTAAAATACTCTGAAGTCATATTGTTATCATGAAAAGTGAAGTTCCATGATGAGATCAGGTTTTGATTCAGTTTCTTGTGGTCAAGCACTCCTGCTATTTTTACATGATAGACATAAAATGATGGGATCCATCTTGCGTACATCTACTTGAGTGTAGCTCTCTTGATATCTGATAGAAATATCTATATCCCAAAAAGTCAGTTTATCTCCTCCTAAACAAAAAATGAAAAGATGCACATAACTGGTTATTGTGAGCTCTCTCCTGCAGCAACACAGAATTCGAGTCACATAATTTATCTGTCAAAAAAGATGCGTGTTCATCCACTCTGAACTGCTTGCAGAGTGGTTGTAGCTCCTCAAACTTTAATAGGCTTACAATTATTTCCTACACATATAGGTAGTGTTCTAAATTATGAGTGTGATTTGGTGCTTAGTTACCACTTCCAGTTAACTTCACTCAAGCTGTTAATTTTCTGTAATATTCATAATGTGATAAACTCAAAGGAAGAGTCTAATTTAATCTTTGTTTTATACCAATAGCAAAATGAAGAAATAGCATAAGTAAAAAGCAACTGAGGTCAGTAGGGAAAGCAACCTTTTAATGGTTCTTCATTTCTCACTTGAGTGCCAGTGTCCCCCTAATATCTGTAGCAGTCAGAATCCTTCTACTCACCTTGTTTTTTATGAGCTTTTTCTGGTAGGGAGAAATACAAAATAAAAATAAAATTCATTATATGGTAAGGCAGTTTTCTTCAATACAGTACTACTTCCTCTATTTTCTGTAGCTCTCTTTTTTTGTCTACCACTTCCTCTCATTAGGAGTTGGATATTTGCTTGTTTTCCTTCAATATCCTTCGTAGAATCCTAGGATGAGTCAGGATGCAAGGGGCCTACTGAGGTCTCTATTCCAATGTCAGGAATAAGATCAGCTTTATCTAGTCCAGTCTTTAAAACCCCAAAGGAGGCAGGCTTTACAATCTCTGGACAGCCTGTGCTGCCTGTCTGACTGTCCTTACATTCATTCTACACTTGTTTTGCTTGTTATTAAGTACATTGCTCTACTATTTACAGGAAATGAATAATACAAAGAATAAAAGTTTTTGTGTTTTCTCTCCAAGATTAGTTTCAGAGTGAGAAAAGTACAGATAATTAGCTACCCATTACCAGCACATGATATATTCCTGACAGAACTAACACAGTTCTGTACTTGAACTCTCAGTGGTAGAAATTAGAACTTTCATATTTCAGAACAGTTTCAAGACTGGGCTGGCAGAGCAGCCTGTTGCTCATCTCTTGTTTTCCATTCTAGGGGGATGAGTTTCTAGAGTACTTCACTTCCAATAGATCCATTGAAAATCAGAATGACAGATTTTTTTTCTGACTCTTCCATTGTTTTTTTATTGATTTGCTTCATTATGAAAAGGATAAATGGACCTCCCTTTTATGGAGGCAAGGCTGCACTTTCCAGGGAAAAAGTCTGGGGGACAGAAATGTGGGTCCTCTGGTGTAGGTGGTTGAGAACAAGTCATAGCCAAAGGACCCAGGAACCTGCAGTTTATGCAGAACCTAACAGGCTTCAGAGAAGCACGGAGAAGAAATAAACAGGATTTGGTGGTGATGAAAAACAACTTTTTGGGATCAAAGAGTACTTGGCAGTTTGCTTCAACTTGGAAATCAACTTCGTTGGTAACCAAACTTAAAAGGAAGGACAGGCAAAGGGAAAGGTGCTCATATCCAGTGTCTCTGATCTAGTTGCTCCAAGTGTTCTCAGTCATATATTTCCTATTAGATGTAGTTAAATCAGTCTTTTTTAGTTTAAAAACCCTTTGTCTCTTTGGCGTGATATCTATAAGGAAGAGGTATAGACAGATGGGTCTTAGTCCTTTGGCTGACTCTGGGTCCTGTCACAGAAAATGTTAGCACAGAACATGTTTTTTTGCTAAAATTGGCTTGTTTAATTTGACTTGCTGACTCATTTTTCCAGCTGGTCTGTCATTCTACTCAATACCAGATGAGGCAATAGGAAAAAGAAAACTCTTTTGAATGTTCCACCCTCTTGCCAAACCATGTAACAATTAAAACCTCCAATTTTCATTGCAGTTTTTTATCTCTGTTAATTATCCAAGGAACAGTAAATCAAATATATTGTCCTCTGCTTGTTGTCAATAATTTAAATTCTAAATTCTTTATAGATTTGTTGCAGATTTAACATGCTGCTTCTCTTCCCTAAATTACATACAATTTCACAACTTGAATCCAATGCAGTGTTTCATTTTTTACATTTGAGATCAAATGCTAGACCGTACAGTCTAATTGACTCGTGTTTTATATACACACACTAGCAAATCCACATGACTCTGTTTTAACTTAATTAGTTACTTTTAATCCAAAAGAGACATCAGGTCACTCAACTATTTAACTAAAGGCTTTGTGGGGTTTTCTTATTGCACCATAATTTTTGAGAAGAATGTATTTTGAATCAAGTGTTCAGTGGACACTAGACTAGACTCATCACTAGCACTGGTGAGTGCGAAATAAAGAACAGAGATATAGTAGGCAGGGACCTTGTGAACTGAGAGATACCAATAGAAAATAATATTGTGATATTCAGCTTAGAAAAAATAAATAGTAGTTACATAGAAACAGAAAGATCCATTAAAAGAGTTATAGCTGACATTTTGTAAAAGAGGTCGAGAATAAACAGGGGATGGCAAATGTAACTTGAATTTATGTGATACAGTATTAAAAAAGTAAATGAGATGTAGGCAGATCAGGTGAAGTCATGTTCACACTATGAATACTGATATTTTCAAGATAATAGAAGGCATTTTTTTCATGTCTCTGGCCATATAAACTACGAGAACAAAATCTTGTCACATATACAGTCATTCCTTACGATTCTGTGTAACTAGGAGTGTTAATTGGCTTGAGTAGTTATTGAGAAACAACCCTGTATGGGATAGTTTTATTAGTTTTTAAAAGAGAAAAACTTCAGATTTTTTCTGTATTTTAAGAAAAATCAAACACCTGAATCAGCATTCAGTGCAACAGAATAGTTGCTTTAATCCTGGTTTTAATTGTAGAAAAAAAGGGCTTGGATGAATAAAGCAAACCAAAACATGCTGTTAATTAAAAATGACAGGTAGCGCAAAGCTTTATTCACCCTTCTTGCATACAGGGGTCAAAACTACTAATAAAGTTTCACCATTTGCTAGTTGCTGATTGATGATGTGGAGCTATTCCTGCAGCTCTTGGTTAATACATGTGCTCTGATTATGTCACATTTTTGTTGCTTATTTGACAAATGAAGGTATAGGTAGTAATTGCACATGCTAAATAATGTGATGAGAGTTTCTATAAGTAATAATTTAAAAAAAAGAAAAATGGTCAGTAGTTTACAAGGAGTCTGCAGTTTTATATTGTAAATGTTGTTTAAAGACAACATTGCCTTATTACTGAGTCATAAGCTGCATGCAAATCAGTTGTGTTATGTTTTAAACATAGTCATCAAGTTTCATAGAAAGGAATTCAGTCATGATATGTGATTTGTAAAGTGAAGTGGTAATGTTAAAGATCCATAAAGGAAGAGATGCCTGAAATGGAAAAGCAGTCTGGTCCTTGGACATTCCTGCTGAGGGACAGGATAACAGTGAACAGCTTATTAAAACTGTTGGGAAATTATCATTCCCATCTTTCACAGAAATGCTCAGCTTTGGAGCAAAATATTTATTTAGCCAGACGCTGAAACATAATATTGGTATTTTTTTCTGTGTATTGTGGGACTTTTAATATTTATACAGCAATACAAGGTTGGGGTTTTTTTTTTCAAATAAAATAACTTTCATGGAAAATAATTTTAACCAAAAAAGCCTGTTTTCAGTGCAAAACTTGAACAGAATTTGGTAAATTCTTCTGAAGCATTGTCTCACCTCAGTTGCTGAGATAGACTGGAGTTGCATTGTCTAAACAGAATTGCGCTTATAATGCACATAGCTGTAATGAATATCAAGAGGTTAAAGTTAAATATCTGAAGCTTAGCCTTCTATGAAATTTTGTTGAACTAACTTAATGATTTTACATGAAAAAGACAAAGTCTGAGTATTTTTCTGTGATACCTGAATTTCTTTTTTTTTTTTTTGTTGCTGTTCCTGAAATTATTTCCTTCTTTGAACTGTTTTGATTTCTACTGCCATGCATATGTTCATTTTAATTCATTGGTAAGCATCTAATATTGATAGGAGATTATATCAACTAACTTAACAAAACCTGAAAAGATATAATTACCACCTTAAGGGAAAAAAAAACAAACAAAACTGTTTCATGGATGGTAACCAATTTAAGAGCTTTGAAGTATGAAAGATGTATGAAAGAACATTCTTCTTGAGTTCTACTTCATGGACCAATTAATAGGAATGCATAAACTATCATAATAATGGTGTATCTATTATGATGATAAAAAATGGAAACTTCACAGTTGTCTTTTTTCTGTTCAGATGTATGAAAAACCTAAGTATCATCAACTGGAGAGTCACAGCTAGTTAATGACATGTAATTAAGTTATATGCATTGGTTTCTACTTTGCATAGGTACGTGTGTTCACATTTTCTGTTGGTCAGCATAATTATGACAAAGGACCTATACAGTGGATGGCCTGTGAAAATAAAGGTACTGTGTTTTTCTTTAAGACTGTTCTTTGCTGGAGCTTTGGATAGGTGGTATCTTTATTATTCTCTAAAAATTACAGTTTTTTGTTTTCAGACTGCTTTTTTAGCTTTATTGTATTAATAAAAAAGTTTAATGAAATAATGTGCAGATGAATATATATATACAGATGTAAAAAATAAGCCTGCATATTTATTTCCTATTTATTTAAAACTTTATATTGTAAGAAAAAAATCACAGTATTTTTCATGATAATAAGATGTTATGGTTCAGTTCTGAGAAATCTTGTAATAGTCATCTATGAAAAGATGAAAGTGATGACAGATAAGAAATTAAGTAAAGCTGATTTATATTAAGAGGTCTGGACAAAGGGATTTTTTGTTTGTTTGGTTGGCTGGTTGGGTTTCTTTCTGTTTTTCTCCAAAACTTACAAGGGACCAGATGACATGATTTATTTTTTCCCTTTTTGATGAAAATATCAAAATGATTCTTGTTGTTATTTCTCAGATTCTAAGAGCATCTTACAGTTTTTAATTTTATCCTGAAACTATATCTTAATTTAGAAAAAAAATAAAAAAGGTGAAAGTAAGGAAGTAAAATGTTTTCTCCTAAAATTTCTGTATGAAAAATGTCATCAGAAATATTAAAAAAAGAGTGTGAGGAAGAGGTGTCTCAAATACGTTACACTATAACTATGGAACAAGAGATAAAAGATACATGCAAAACAGAGAAATTATCAAACAATATTGTCAATATTTTAAACAGAGCTATTTCCAGGCCTGGCTGAAAATGTGGAAGTACTTTACAAACCAGTGAGATGCAAGAGGTGAGAGGTGGGATAGTTTTCGAGGGATCTTGAAAATTTAGACTGTAGGGAAGGAGATTAAGATACAGTTCTCAGGCATGACATTAACATAAACCACAGATAAGAGAAAGGTAGAGGTACAGAAAAAAATCATACAGAGTGTATCCTGTAGGAACAGCATATGTACTGTAGCCTCATGAGCCGCTCCACGTGCTGGAAGGTTATGCAGAAGATACTACAACTTCATGAAGAGCGGATTGTATTGTCAGATAATTACAGAAAATCAATGAGGGGTTTCTTGAACAGGGATTTTTTTGTCTCACATCTTTGTATTGCTGAATACTATGTGCATGTGAACTCCATTGTTTTAAAACAAATGAGGACCGGCTGGTTTAAAGCAGAACCACCCACCTATGTCATCTCTGTCATTTTATTGAGGCAAAATGATCATAATCTTCTGTCCAAAACTGATGTGATTATTTGTTTGAACATCCAAAGAAGCAAAGTTTTGTTTTTCCTTAATTAAAATCTTTAATTTATTATCAAATCGCACATTGTTTACAGCAAAGTAAATGACAAACCTCAAGACTCTAACTTCTCCAGTCCTCCAAACTTTCCTTCCAATTTGATTTACTTGGTTTGAAGCTGGATCTCAGTACCTGTCCTCACTCTTATTTGGTGCATATGGACAATATTTTTAATTCAAACAAATAAGTGATAGAATCTGTGCTGAATAAAAACATTTCTGTTGTTCAGTTAGAAGAAATACACATTAGATTCTTTCATTCTTTCCACAGAGTACCTGATATTTTTATAGTGTGAGTACTGTTGTGGCAGACTGTAGCTCTACTTGCATTTCTATATGTGTTCAGCATATAATTATGTTGTCGTCACAACGTATTAAAATGACCATTAAATATACTTGCACATGAGAGTAACTGGGAATTCAGGAGTATAAATTCAGCATGTTATCTCAGCTTTAAATAAAACATACAAAAGAAACACATCTCAGTGCTTAAAAGTAACTAGCTTGGCTTATACAGTTTGGTGACCCACCATATGTGGCCACATGTGGTGGCATCTACTAGAAAGTTATTCCTTATTTTCTATAAACATTAAATTAGAAATTACCAGATTAATTAAATTACTCAAGAGACTATATATTATAGTAAGATGGGTTTATTTCTATTCAAAATTTCAGGTTATTATTATGAAATTCCGTCCATTGGAGCCATAAGAATAAACACCCAGGTAAGTATGTTGGTCAAATCCAGTTGCAGTTACAACACAAAGAAGCGTAGTAACTCCTGTTTTTTAAATCTGTTGCAATTTGCCTCTGTATACAACACATTATGAACCGGGGGAAAAAAAAATTAAGGCTTCCTTGTACATGTGAAAGGATTATTCTCTTAAGTTATTCTCATTTATTTTCTTTTTTAGTGGTTGCATTGAGCCAAATTAAGATGTGATTCCTGTTTCCCTTGCTAGCTGGCCCACAGTAGCTTGCATGCATACTAGCCACACTAGCATGCTCTATAGCACCCTGACCTTGTGCACCCAACAGCATTTGAAGTGATGTGTATCCTGCAGACCCCTGCTTTGAACTCAGTTTTTCTCCTGGCCTTACATGGTCACTCTTTGACATTTAGACATAGCAGCAATTTTGTTATAAAGTTATATAAACCTAGTAAATTTTTATAGTGTGTCTAGACATTCATAGTAGTCTGTCTCCTGCCATACTTGCTTTGCTTCTCCACATGATGTGGAGAAGGCTGTGAAGGCACAGCCCTGCTAGAGCATCTGAATTCAGCTGGGCAGAAGCAGTGACCTGGTACAATAGGATTGATTCCTGGGCTGATCCAACCAGTCTGGGAGAAACAGAGCTTTTTTTTTTTTTTCCATCAAAAAGGATGCAGGAACATTTTAAGCAGACATGTGTAGATAATTAAGGGCACAGGACTTGGGCATTATATGATGTGATACAAACCGACAGGGTAGTTGTTTGAAAGTCCATGTATTCACATGTCCAGAAAACCAGGGAAGTGCCACAGCAGTTCTTTGTCCTTCCAAGGCCAGGCATGACATTTTTTGGCAGGAAATGAGAGTCCTCTTTTTGGCTTCCACAAGAGATCTTTAATTCTTTTAAACTCTTCCAGATAGTGTCTGGCAAGAAATATCCCTAACGTGATCAGACAAATAGAGAAGGTTGAAGACTGAAACAAGTTTGAGGGCATCCACTCCCAAACCAGACTAGAAGTGTGGCATCTCGTAAGGTCACCAGCTTTAGCTGTACTCCCAGACTCAAGGAAAGCAGGGACAATGAGGTTTTATGATTCTGTTTATTTTTTTTTTATTTCATTAGAAGTTGTGCAAGTTATCGCTGTAGGAGCTTAACATAACCAGCTGTTAAACCTCTCACTCTCCATTGCCCACTCTCTTACCGGTTGAAGGTTCTGCAGTGTGCTTGTAATTTCATTATGTCATTAGCAATTAATTTTGGGAAAAAATAGTCGGAATTCTCACATTGTGGAAAGAGAACAGTGGTTATGGATGTGCAAGATCCATGTAACTGAGGCCGTGACAGAGGAATTACCTTGGCAGTAGATACTAAAAACTGAAGACTGAATTGTTGGGTAGTACAGTTTTAAAGAAGTCATTAAATATTACTCCTATATTGGTGGTGAATTTTTACCCTTTTTATTTTTTTATCTTTTAATTGTTTTTATGTCATTATTGTTTATTTTTCATGCTATTTCTGGACTTTGAGCTAATAACTACCTTCTGATGAATTTATTACATTTTCTGGCAGGAATATCTGGATGTTTTGGGCAGACCAATGGTTTTAGCTGGGGAGAAGGCCAAACAAGTCCAATGGACAAATGTCTATCTGGATGCTCTGGTATGATCTGTGTTTACCTCTAGTAAAGTGCGAATCTTAGCAGACCAGTAACTGTCTCATTTTCCACAGTCCTGATGGCTAAATTTCCTACAGTTCCAAGCATCATATTCTTGCCTTTCAAGCATGTGTACAATTTCCTGAACTGCTGTTTCTAACGTGCTGCTCATTACTCACACCTAGCATCCTCCTAAGCATCTTAAACTTTAACAGAGGAAAGCAATTTATCCTAGACATAGATCTTTAAGTGTAGCTCATTCTTGCCCTCAACTTAATAAAAGAAAAAGGAACCAAATAGTTTTCTAGCTCTGTGCCTTTGCTGCAGTAGAGTTTATTTGCTGTGTTACTGATGAGGAGTTCTTACTTTTTAATCTCACATCCCCCCCTCAAAAAGAGTATTCCACGCAGAATGAAATCTGTCACTGTTACTAGGTATTTGTACAGATTTTGAACTTGGATCTTTAAACTATTATGATTATTGTAATTACTTGCTTCCTCAAGGTAATGTTTTTTTTTTTTTTTTATTGAGCAGTGTATATAGTGGGGAAATAAAAACATATGAAATTATTTCCTTACTGGTGAATTTATCACTTCAGTCTTGTAAAACAAACATATTAAGGAAACTACAAAATGCAAAGTATTATTAGCAGCAATCGAATCTGTTGCTCTAGATAACCTCCTTTTGAGTAATTCTAACTAGGCAAAAATTACCACAAAATTGTCATCTGGAATCATGCATTTATCCAAGTTCACATGGTCATCTAATGCCAATGTCAAAATCTGCTTCTTCCAGTCAGACAGAGTTACTGAAAATTTTTTATCAACACATCATGAATGTGACTCAGAGGAGCTAGTTTTTCTTGGAATTTCAATGGCCAGAAGTTCATTAACCATGTTTCCTTGGTTACTGTTGAGGTACTTACTGGAAACATAAAGGATGTTATGATGAAAGTTCATATATTCTATACATATCCTGTTGTAAAGCCAAAGCTAAATTTGTAAGTGGAATAGAAACATATCTCTTTAATGAAGTAAAACTTGTGGTAGCTGCAGACTTCTCTATGTAACTTTATATTTTTAGTGGGTTCATTCAGTCTTTCCTTCAAGCTTTTCTCCATTCACCTGTTATATATGTGTTTGTGTGTATATAATTTTATTATAACTTATTCATGATTATTGTCCTCCCATTATTTTTTGAGGGGGAGAGGGTATTATCCTCCATACATACCCCTCCATTTTGTTATCTATCTCTTCAATGCTCCTTCTAAAAATATCCTGTTATATATTTTCTTCTGATTTCTCTCCATTTCCTGCTTCTCTTATTCTCTTAACATGTCCACTTCTCCTTTTCTTTGACTTGCTTGTAACATTACTCTGATCTCATCACCTTTCGCTTAACAAACTTAAGTTCATGAAGAATGATTTAAAATTCAAAAAGGTGGAATTAGACTGGGCAAATGGAGAATGACTTTCATTAAAGTGGTTTAATAAGGTTGTTTTTTTTTTTAATGAAACAAAGGGAGAAAAGGATATGGTTGCTTTATTCATTAAAATAACATGGAAGGAGCAAGAATCTGGGGGGGGAGGGGGTGGGAAGGGGTGAAATTTGAAATATACCCCAAACATTTGCATAAAAAGACAAGGTAGGAGTCTCCCTTTATATTTAGAATGGAAGATAGTACTTTTCTGGCTATCTAAAGATGCTTTTCTGGATACTGTTTTGAGTTGTGACTGTTCATAAAAGAAAACCAAATTTCTTTTATCTTCCCAAATAAGTGTAAGTCCTTGACTCAGTACCTGAAGAGACTACATGATTTTGCAGAACTGATGAAGGACATTATTGCAAGCCATTGAAAAGAAGTGATAATATGAAAAGTAGTAGTTTTCCCTGATGGATGAACCTATTTGCTGTTTTTAAGTTTGATTTGGCTTCCCCCCACACCTTTTTTTTTTTATTTTTTTCCCCTACTATCTGGAGATTTTAGTAGAGTGGGTACTACAGCTGTAAACACATGTAGGGTTTTTTAAACTATTATATCCTACATTCTTGTACACCATCTACTTAAAAAAAAAAACAATTTATTACTCTCAGTAATGCATGAGCACAAAAAACCCTTTAAGTTTCTATGCATAAAATCAATGAAGTATTTTAAAGTTTCTACAAACTAGAAGTCAGTACTCTGTTCTAGTGTTTGGATACAGTAATCCCTGGATTGTTGTAATTTTTTATAGTTCAGTATTTGTTATTTAACTAAAAGGTCTTTTTCTCTCTTCTCTATATGATCATTTCCTAGGAGCTGGGCCTTGTGATTACTGGAACCCTACCTGTCTTCAATCTAACCAAGGAACAAAATGGGAAAATAGTAAGCTCTTAATCAAAGCACAAAAAAAGAAAACAAAAACAAACAACCCCACAACAGTTATTTGACTTACATTTCATGCTAACTCCTTGAATAATGTGTATTTCCCTAGACCTTTCTACAACTTGCTTGTCTTGTACCTCAGAAACAAAGGGGTCATCTCTAGTTACCTGATAGGGAACTAGAAAATGCAATTACCCTTTTTGTAATTCTGAGTTTCAGGGTATGATATTCCTTGATCTATCTCTGTGACCTGGTGGCAGTGGGAATGTGTTAACTGCTAGATGGGAAGTAGATTGTTATATTAATCAGGCCTTGCCAAGAAAGGAATGCCTAGATAAACTTTTTACAAATCTTTGAAGCTGTGACAGGGTGAAGCTATTTCAGGATAAATGGCAATAGTGTGGAGAATTTAAACTAATTGATTGTAATGATAATAGAAAATAGCACTGTGTGCTTAGATTAAAATCTAGGTATTAGACAAATGCAATTGCCCATCTCTATTACTGTCAGGTATGGAATCAGTTGATGTCCTCTTCACAAAATAAAAATGCTGTTTTTAAAAAAATCATACTTAGAATATGACTTATAGTGTGTAGTATAATACTGTACATTTGGTGTGGTACTCATCTTCATCCAGGTCAAAATATACAGAAGTCTAGAGAAGAAAGTATTTGATGTGGTTTTTCAGATATTACATAGGCTCAGAATGAATAAATACAAATTTGATCACTACCACTTCTTTTATTTACTTTCAGAACAGTTCTCTTAGTTTCTCTTTAAAAATAAAACAGCAACAACAACAAAAAAAGGTTTCATAGTCTTATCTACATGATAATGCTTGGGATTCACTGACTGTGGTTTCAAAGTGAGCAACTACTGAATATCGAAAGATGTCTTTCAGAGAAGTAGAACATCCATGGTCTAATACAGAGAAACAAGAGAACTTGAATATGCTCAACTTACATCTCTACCTGAACTTTAGGGTACAGACTGCAAGATGCATCTTCCAGTGCTTATTCCAAATTTATTTAATAAGGAGAAGGGATTCAGGTGATACTGTATAAAGGTCTAACTTCCTTTTCTGTAGTAGGAAAATAAACTACAAGTGAAGCAAATGTAGTGCCTGAGTCCCTGATTTCAAATGCTGATGATTTCTAGAGTCACTGAGTTTTTTGCTTTGTTGTTTGGTTGGTTTTGTTTTTTTCATTCATCATTATACCACAGCCAAAAGTATGTAATTGTTTTGGGATCTCACTTATTAATTGCCCAACCTAAGCATGCAATAGTAGCTCTATACTTGTGCTAGTAATTTAGTATCTACATTATTGGCAATATTAATGCATTGCTTTTGCTTTTACCTGTTTTGTTCTTACATTTATTGTTTATTCATCCAGAAAAAATCCATATTCATTTTCATAAACAATTAGCATATTCTATGCTAAATTCTGAATGTATTGAATGTTATTTTGAATCACTTGGATAGTATTTAAAACATTTAGAACAGACACATACAAGCAACTTTTCAAGTGTATCTGTCAAAGAAGAGATGAAAGCAAAATCAAAATTCACTCACTGTTGCAGTTATTCTGCATTCTAAATATGTCAGACATAGTCTAATGTTTTGGAATCTCACCAGAATCAGCTGATTCTTGGAGTGATGGGGGTTGATGTCTCTTTGGAGGACATAAAAAAACTGACACCCCGATTTACGGTAAGTTGCTTGCTTTGGTGGTTTGTTTTATGCATGATTTATGTATGATTTCTCTTCATGCTCTTTCATTAGTCGTACAGCAATGACTGGATGTGTGTCAAAATACCAGCAGGCTTCTTTTCGTATATTCTTTTCCATTGTTGTAGATTTTCTGATGGTTTTCTCTCCAGCCATATATGTGTTTGTGTGTGAATTGTCCATCAAGATGCATCTGTAAAGGCAACTTTTATGTTGGGGGATATATTCCAAATAATTATTTTCCTGTAGCTTAAAGCACTGTTTTTCAGTTGAATGCTTGGTTCTTACCACAGGTTTAGAGTACACAATCGTTTCAGCTAATAATAATACTAGCATTTATATAGGACAGCTTGTTATAGAAAAGTTCTTTAATATGCATTTCTCTCTGTAGCCTACTCAGTATGATTGATTTATGTATGTAAACATCTATCCAGGGGATTTCAAAGAAAACAACTAGTACTGTAGAAAACAGCAGCTGAGGAAGCAAAGGAACATCATGAATTTATCTGAAGGCAGATGCAGAGTCCTGCATTTAGAATGGAATAATCCCATGCCTCAGTACAAGCTGGGACAGACTGCCTCAAAAGGCAGGAAAGGGCCTGGGGGTCATGGTGGGGGACAAGCTGAACATAAGTTAGCAGTGTGCCCTTGCATCAAAGAAGACCAACTGTGCAGTGAACACCTGCATCAGAAATAATGTGCCCAGGTTTGATCTCCTCAGCATGAGAAATAGACTGAGGTATTGGACAGAGTCCAGCGTGGAGCCACTAAGTTGGCAAAGGGGGCTGGACTGCACGATGTATGAGAAGAAGCTGAGAGACATGGGTTTGTTCAGACTGAAGAAGAAACCTAATGGGTTACCTAATGGGAGTTATAGAGAAGATGGACGTTGACATTTCTTGAAGGTTTATAGCAGCAGGCAAGAGGCAAACAACACAGTGGTGGCAACGGAAATTCCAACTGGATATAGGAAAGAAAAATCTTTGTGAGGGTGATTAAACACAAGCAGATTGTGGAATCACCAGTGGAGTTATTCAAAGACTCTTTGAAACCTAGTCCAACTTCAAAGCTGGATCATATTTTGAAGTTAGCTCAGTTTACAGTGAGCGGTTGTACTCTAAAGGTGACCTCCAGAGGTTCTATCAGCCAAAATTATTCTTCAAATTTATGATTCTAGAAGAATAAATATTAAGAAATTATCCTCTCTATGTTAATATCTCATATAGTTCATGATGCTTGAGACAATGTATTTTCTTCAGTGTGACCATTGCTTGAAAACTTAAAACCTTATAATGCTAAACTTCATTTCTTTCTTTCAGCTTTGTCCAAATGGATACTATTTTGCAATTGATCCTAATGGGTATGTGCTACTTCATCCAAATCTCCAACCAAAGGTATGAAAAATGTTCTAATTTATTTCACTATAATAAGAGGACACTGTCAGAAATTACAGAAACTAAGATCTGCCAGAGAGCAGTAGTAAAGAATTCTCAGTTGTGGGGAAGTCAGGAAAATCTGTGGTGCATTTATGGCTTCATCCAAATCCATTTAGTCAGGACAGAGGTCATCATTGGCTTGTATGAAATTTGGTTATCCATAAAATGCAAAATAAATATATTTCACATTTTTATATAAGAAATAAGTGGTTTAATAGACTACATATTAATATAAAGCCAACTAGTGGTAGCTGCAATATTGTTGTGAAGAATTTCTAGTGTGTTGCGAGATGCTCTTGAAGCAAACCAAAGAGTTTACTAGTGCACATGCTTATTTTGTGATGCTTTCTCATTTCAGAAATTGAAACTTTCATACTTGCAGAAATCAGGGGCAAACTCAATGTATTTTACTTGCATTTTCATATTTATTTATTTGCTTATTTTCTGTTTACCAGAGCTGAAATAGATCTGGGAATAGATCTAGCCAAGCACTACATCCCACAATACTAGATCTTTCAGTAGGTCACCTTGAGAAAGTCTTTCATCCTTAACGGTAAAATCTTTATCTAAATATGATTAGGACAGGACTGTCCTCAAATTTCAGGAAAATTTAAACCCAAGACTTAAGTCTGCTTTTATATCAATTAACTGTAGTCCTGACTTTGTGGTGACTCCTTCTTAAATAACTTGCCTTCCAGGCTTTGATGAGATATTTCAAAATGAATGGATATTTTTGTTTTAGTGAAGGTATTCTCCATATCCAGCAGTCGTCTGTTTAGTGGAATATTTGATAATGCTTGTATTTTAAGTAATTTCAGCATATTTTATATCTTGAGTTTGTAGTGATCAAATGACACATTATATCAAACATAAGGTTAATATTAAATATAAATCATATGTATTATTTACAGGCATTAAGTTAGGAATAATAATGAATCAGTGTAAGTATTGAAGACCAAACAATATATCCATGTTACTCAGTTATCAATATTAAAATTGCTCATTAAGATGGTTTGAGCAATGTATGTCTAAGATAAATGCAAGCTGTCAATAGACAGGCAAATGAAAGTAGTAAGGATTTAAAACTTTGATGTCACTCTACTGTTGTTTTTTAGCCCTCAGTACACTTTAGAGAAAATTCTGAAGTAATGGAAGCCTGTGTCTGTTGCCTTTAGTCATGGAAATACTGCTTTTTGTAAATTGGATGCATAGCCATCACTTTATTCCTCTCACCTGTGTTTGTGCAGCAGAATAGTAGCAAGTCATTGACCTTTAGGTCATGCAACTGTCTTCTCTTGGCTCTTCACCAGAAAGTCACATCATACCTACAAGAGGGATAGCATACCCGCTTTTCACTACTTCAACATCTTAACTCTTAAAGGCAGGAAAACAAATTAAGAATTCATCTGCATACTTTAGTGATTCATTATATTTTTAAGCTTGGGGAAGTCAGCTTTGTAACTATTTGAATTAATTTCCTGGTGAAGTAATGAATACGTTTGATATCTTTTGCTAAGTGTGTAACAAAAGAAAAAAGGAAAAAAATGCTTCTGAAGAAGAGAACAAATAACTTGATCTTAACTGTTGCTGAAATATCCTTTTGACCCTTAGTCTTCATAATTTAGAAGAACTTCAGTTTCTGGATACATGCGTAACGATTTCATGTGTTAAAAAAAAAAAAGAAAGTTTTGATTTGATGACTTGATGAATTATTCTGAGCCAAATATATGCATCATTGCTGACCAAATCATTTCTTCATTAGAGATTATTAGAAATTCACATGATGGGAAATAGTCTATTTTTAATTCCTTTTTCTTATATACAAATGAAGCTCCCTTTTTGCTAACAGAAGGAATATAAAATGTATAATTAATATAATTCAATATAAAATATAACATATCATGTATAAAATATCAAATATAAAATTATAAAATATAAAAGCAATGTAGTATTTTCATTTTAGGCACAATCTTGTGAGAAACTGATGGATATGGATTCTGTTCATCTCGCATATGTTACTATACTGCCGTGTAAACTCATAACACTGAAGAATAAAGAACCTTTGTTAGAGAGTGAACAACTTGGTTCATCCCAACTAAATAATCTGAAATGGGTTATTAGGATACTAATTGTCATGGTTTCTTTGTATAGTTTTCTAACCTAAAAGGATACGGAAGTCCAGAGATGGTTTCATATACTGTTCAAATGTTTGATTTAGATTATATTAAAAAAAAAAAATTATAAGTAATGTTTTGTGTTGTAGAATAATGTCTAAATGTGTCATTAAGACTATGAATTATTATTGTTATTGTTATTAACAGTTACAAAGACTAGACTTTTTCACTCCCAGTTTGTTTGGGGTGGTACATGCTATTCAGACTGATACAAGACCTACGTTTTAAAACTAAGGTACACTCCAAAGACAGATATATTTAGAACTCATGGACTTTCTTTAACATGTCATATTAATTTTAGTTGAACCTCCTAGTAGCTGTTAACTTATTAACAAAAAACCCTCTTAACCCTCTTTGCCAGCAGTTTTTCGATAGATGTAGACTAAACCATAAGTACGTCTTTACCTTTGACGAGGTGAGGGTGTATTATACTTTCAGTGATCCCTTCTTCTGAATGTCTTCTGCTTTCTTTCTGAAAATCTGTTACCTCAAATCACAACTGGTTCAACACAACTATTGTTTTGAGAAACTGTCTTGCAGTATTATCTCACAAAAAGAAGCCCCCTAGAAATTTAGAACTTGTAAAGTTGTTTACCCAACTGAGAAAATTTAACATAAGGCAGATTCAAAAACTTATTAAAATCATTAAGAACTTTCCTATCCTGTTCTTATTTGCACATGAAAAATATGTCAAAGCATAACACAGGAAACCCTTTTTTTTTAACTTTCAGTTTAATACAGTTTTAAACTGCTTAAAATTCCATTTTCAAGTTTATGTAGTTAGTTATGTTACATTTTAAACACATGCTTACTGTTATGATTTACCGCCAATTTTCTTTGTGTGTCTGTGTGTATGTCCATCTATTTTTCCCATTGTCCTGGACGGGAACAGGTAGATAGTCCACTAAATAAACGGTCACTGGAATTAGTGTATTAAGCATATATTAACAAGAGTAGTCTTAATTAGATAAGATTTGGAAATGCTAAATAATTAAATTACTGAATCTATTCTAAAGATTAACATCATTTTCTTCATTTTCATTATGGTTCTGATCCATTTAATGGTAGTTCCAGATGCCTGTAGGGTCCAGTTATGGTTTATGGTTTTGAAAGAAATGTAAGTGGAGGAGCTCTCTGTTAACTTCATTCACATTGTTTAGCATATATGTGGTTATTGTTTCTCTAGACAAAACCTGGGTGTAATTGTGACAGAGAGCTCTTGACTGGGGAACAAGGGCTAGTCTCTGCTTCCAGTAAATGTGCACTGGAGAGTATAGATTGAGGGAAGACTTCCATTCTGTACGTTGGCTGATTACTAATAGTGTAAAAATATAAATTACTGCTTTTTTGTTACTTCAGCAAATTGGTGTGGGCATACCAAAAGTTAAATTGAGGAAAAGGAGACCCAATGTACAGGTAACTTTGGATGGAGGTGATTAGTGCATTAGAATGCATAGACCTGGAAATACAAATAGAAAGCTTCTGTCCTGCTTACTAGGAAAAATCTAACTAGAGAACTGTTTACTGTGACAAACAGCTTCCAAAGCATGAAGCTTGCATCCTTCCTTGTTTAAATAATGGAAAACATGTTATTGGCTGTAGTGAAGGGCATTCCATTAAATTATGGTGCTTTACTAATAGGTGCTAATTAGAGACGTGCTGTAAAAATTATTCTTCAGATTTTGAAATTAATTTGAAGGCTGGAAATAAAAAAATAGACTACTTGTGCTGGCTTTGCTTGCATAAACCCAAACTCAAGAGAAGATCTTTGCTACTTTGTTGCCAAGTTTTATTGTACCATGTGTTCATTTTAATTCTGGGGAAGCCAGAGAAGGGCACATGTTTTATCTACTACTTACATTAGGTTTCTTGGTTTAGCAGAACCTAACTCCAGAGAATTAACTGCCATTAACCTGGATTGAGAAAAGGAAATTAGTGATGTTTATGTAATGTAATCCTTGAGCAGAAAACACTTAATGAAAACTTAAAAATCATTAAAGGAATAAATTAACTGCAACTAGCAAAATAACAAAATTAAGTACAACATACCATGGAGACATTCAAGGCCAGGCTGGATGTCATTCTAAGCAACCTGATCTAGTTAAAGATGTCCCTGCTTATTGCAGGGGGTTTGGACTAGATGACCTTTGAAGGTCCCTTCCAACCCAGACTATTCTATGACGCTCTGTGAATTTCTTACACGTACAGGAATATATAATGCAAAACTGGTGGCTTGCATACCAACACTAGTAAAATATGGTGCAAAATCATGATATGATTCAAGTCAGTTATTTCATCAAGAGTCAATTTTCTGCATTTATGCCACATGTAGAAGGCCATGTCTGGGCTAGACATTTGTGAGCTGGAGAAAGCAGCACTGGAATATAAAAACCTTTGTGCACCCCTGGCTCCTTAGTGTGCTGTGGTATGATTTGACTGGTGCTGGGTTTTCCTGGCTGTGCTGTCTGCCTGAGAGGTGCAACTCTGGAAAAGCTCTGCGCTACCCACCCACTCCAGTTGCTCCTGGGTTTCCTACTGGGGCCCAGGACTTTGTTGCTTTCTTACCATCATTTATTTCAAAACCCTAACAGCCTATGTCTTCATTAGTACTGCAGGTATGAGTAGGAGCTAGGCTCCTGCAACTCAGCAAAAGCCTTCCATAGAATGTGAGAATACTAACCTCCCAAAAAACACAATAACCACATTTTAATGAACATCTTTTATGTTGCTGCACCAGTTCTTTCTTTGTTTCCTTCTTGATTTTTCATTGAATTTATACATCTTTGCCTTTATTTGTCATGCTGAAAATGAACTGCATTCCCTTTATCTGCATGCTTCATTGATAGTGATTTAGTTCTGTTTTGTTTTATTAAGTTGTGCTGGTGAATGTGGTGGTGGTGTGCTTCTTCTAGTCATGCCACATGCATGACTGGAAAAGAGAAGAGCAAACTGAACAGTAAGTTTGTTTCTTCATGGCTTGGAATAAACCCACTAAATGGCAACCTTGGAAGAAAAAACTGTGGAGCCCAAATACTGGTAAAAACACATTCTTGGGGGGAAAAGGCATAGCTGGGAAAATTGCCATCCATTTAAAGGACAGGGCTAGGAATTTTCTATTCTAAGTTATAATGGATTTCTTTGTGCCTCAGACACATCACATAATGTATCATGCTTAGTATCTTATCTATTAGAAGTCATTAGTAAGTATGTGATATATAATATTTGGTAATATAACTTACGTCTTAAAAAGAACAAACTTATACTTGAATTTTGATGGGCTGTTAAATTTGTCTATTTTTTTCTTTGGGACTCCTTAACTATTGCTAACCCAGGTTATCATTTTAAATTAATATTGACCTTGAATTGATGTGATGGCTTTTTTTTTGTTTTCGTTTTTTTTTTCCTTTTTTACCATTTCTTTACTTTGTTTCTTTGTGTGTTGGAATGGAATTTGAACTTCACTCATGCCTCCTGTGCCATGCCAATGCCTTCATGCATGCTGTTTGGGTTTGACCATGCTATTCATTATTCATTGCATGTAAGAAAATGTATTTTTTAATTTATTTTTACATTTTAGCTTTTTGCTATTTATTTCAAGTGTGTGGATTTGTTGGGGGGTAAAAAGCAACTGCATAACAACAAAATTGTTTTGAATTAATAGGGAGCATATGTTAATCTTAAAGCTGCTAGAGTCTAGGATTCTATCTATCCTGTATAAATAGGAACATAAAAATTTCTTTGAAGTTATCAGTAGGCGTTTAAAAGAAATACCACGAAACTTTACCTGCCACCTTTCCAGTGCATTTTGTCTTTCTGAGAATAAATTTATTGATTATTCTCTTAGCAATAGTAAGGCTTGCTTGGTAGGAACAGGAATGTTTCTATACCCCCAGAAACACGTACATTTGTTCCTCAAGAAAATTAATGAATAGTCTTTTGTCTTCTGTTACTATTCTGTATTATAGTCTCTAAAATTTTATTTTCACCCAATTAACCTCTCTATCCAATGAAATAAAATAGATGAGAAAGGGCCACTAGTAATTCATCATGCTATAAAAGATTAAAATAGATGGGTAAGTAAGCCCAGATACTCTGAAATGAAAGGTTTAGAATGATTTGTAACATTCTGTCCTTACTATTTGATCATCCAATATCTTCTGCTTCAGAATCCTAAATCCCAGGAGCCTGTTACACTGGATTTTCTAGATGCTGAATTGGAAAATGATATTAAAGTTGAGGTGAGATTACCTGTCTTCTTGGTACCTGTTGCTGCTTGTATTTCACTGTACAATAACCAAAAACCAAAAACTGTTCTAGATTTTGAACGGGAGTCTATTTCACTAAAAAATTAAATTTTAAATTTGTTAAGACAATGAATTTATAGAGACAATTATAATTAAACAAATTGAGACATGATACTTTTCATAGGCGGCAATGCATTGTATTACCCTCATTTTGAAGGACACCATGACACATTATTCTTCTTCATTCAGTGGCTATTCTTGGGGAGTGGGCTTGTAACTTTTTTTCAGAACAGAGCACTTTTTATTAGGATCTTAATATTTTACCTGAAATATTTTTAAAGTATTTCCCTATCTCTTTCAAGTACATGCTTATTGCTGTGGTGAGAAAGAACTGAGAAATAGTGTTGACAGCAAACCAATTCCTTTTTATATTTTTCAGTTTCTAATTTTATAATACATTCAGAAATCAGAATTTTAAAGAATACTTTGTTAGTTTTGTGAACTAAAGGTGAGGGGCTTAAACATTTTATTTTTTTTTTTTTTTCAGTTTGAAATGTTTTTTTCATAATGACACTAATCAGCTTTATTTGGTGTCTGTTAAACTCTGCCTTAAATTTCTTTGAAATGGTTGCTTCAGAGAAGAATTAGACTGGTATAAAAACATTTTTGTGAATCACTGCAGCTACCAAAATGACAGAGATGTGCTGGGAAGCAAGAGAAATGCCAGGCAAAACTCCTTCTCATCCATGCAGATTTCATGCTCTCTCTATGGTGTCCCCAGCATCAAGGGGTTTTATGGGATGGTCTATGCAAAGTATACTAGAATTTTTGCTTCATAACTCTACTGAGTTGTTATAGACAAAGCAATTTCTAATTAGAAAGATCTGGAAATTGTAAACGTAACGTTTTGGTTTTGAAGAGCTATGACTTTCATCTGCATTACCATTTTCTGCATTTCTGTGAATTATTATGCATCACTGAAAAGATTATTCAGTTTTCATGCAACACCTACTTTTGGTTGTTTATTTTTTTGGTGTTTTTTTCTTCCTTGCCAATAGATTCGGAAAAAAATGATAGATGGAGAAAGTGGAGAAAAAACATTTGAAACACTGGTCAAGTCCCAAGATGAGGTAAGTTAGGAACAGGAGATTACATTTACAGAAACAAACAAAACTGGAAAAGTACTGTGAAATGGTGTAAAGATGTTCATTTTGTAATGTCAGTTTGTATCAATTTTCCCTCTAGATTTAGTAGTTTTACTGGCTTACAGTGAAAGAAATTGTATACTTATAAAAAAGAAGGCTTATTTTGGTTTTGTTTTTTCATTTTTTGGTGCATCATTAATCAAGCAGTTGTTGATGAGGTCTTACGCTCAGTTCACCAGGAAACGGACCCAGCCTACTTCTGTGTATAAATCCTAAAACAAAGTAGTTATTTTGCTTGCAGAGATGTGTGAGGATGGGTTTGGTAATTTAGATTGTGGTTGAATAGGGAGAAAGTAGTGAGAAAGAAAAACAAAAAACAAAACCTCCAAAACATTTATATGCCATAAGCAAAGACTATTTGGGATAAGTAAATTAATCTTAAAGTTATATTATGTACTTGTGATTTCTGAACAACATGTTGAGTTCTTTATTTTTTTGTTAAAAATGCTCATTCCTGATAAAGATTGCTACTAGTTTCTCTAATAATACAGACACATTTCCTAGCAATGGGAAATACTCAAGTTTAACATGGAACCTTACATGTATGCTTTTCTTCTTGGGGAACTTGAGAAGAATCATTACTGGTGTCTAAAGGAGCAGTTCTGGCCAGAATATGCCCCACAGTTACAGTTCTACAGGAGAATGTTGAAAATGCTTTACTTTAAATGTAAACCAGCATGAGGATAGCTAATTTAAAGGCATAGCAGAAGAACATGAAGCACATCTAATATCAAGCAGACACTACACAACCCTTAGATATAAAAGTACACCGTAACCATACTCAGCAGAATCTGTGGGAACATACTAGAAATGTAGAATCATGGAATAGTTTGAGTTGGAAGGGACCTTTAAGGGTCATCAAGTCTGACCTGCCCTGCAATGAGCGGGGACATCTTCAATTTGCTCAGAGCTCCATTGCATGTTTCCAGCGATGAGGCCTCTACCACCTCTCGGGGCAACCTGTTCTGGTGTTTCACCATCCTCACTGTACTCACTGCAACATTTTCAGATCGGTGTTGTTGTTTTATTTAGGAAGTCTTTCCAAGCCTGTGGGTGAAAAGTGCTCTGTGTAGGTGGTTAGAAAAGGGAGAATTAGAAGGTCAGAAAAATACAGTAACCCCACTGGGGTTGTTGAAGTAATTGCATTCATAGCAAAGCTGTTAAAGAGATCTAAGAGATCTTGGGCTGGGCTTTCATGTCTAAGGCTGTGTGATAAAAAAGACCTGAAACAGTTGGTCTTGCAACTGCTTGCCCAAAGAGGGAAGGAGGGGAATCATTTACACTTGCAAATGCAGGAGTCAGCTACAGCATGGGAGCAGGGGGGTAAATGTAACATCTCTGGGTGCATGAGAATATGTCAGTTATCCATGGCCCAGACCACAATCTGTATCTGAGTAGAAATGCCCAAGCCTTTTGATCCCAGATGTTTCAAGTGCCCAATGAAATTCATTTCCCTCACCTTCCCTTGCATCACAGCCCAAGATTTCTTCCTTTACTTAGATCTCTCTGACAGAAGACAGTAGCAACCAGGGATGGCTGGTGATGGTGACTGCTTCAAGCCATTGCACCCTCCCAGCTTTAGGCTGCTGGAGCCAGAATAAACCTGCTTCATCCCACAGGCCATGCATGAGCTGTGCATCACTTAGGGCTTGATAGCTTCATATATTTTCTCATAAATAGAGCTGATGTGGTCAGTTGTTGTGAACTGACAGTTGCAGTCTCGAGGCTTAAAATTGATGTCCTTTTTTTGTTTTGCTTTTTGGTTTAGGTTTGCATTGCTTTCCTTTTGTATTGAAGCTGGCCCCAGCAGTGTCTTGGGAGATGACCTCATACTACAGCATAGAGATTGGACTTGTAGCAAGTGTGGGTGGGGTGGGCTGGAGTCTCCCAAGGCCTGAGGGGCTTTCCAGCTGACAGAGAAGATGCCATAGGAACAAAAGCATTGCCACACTGGGGCAGTCGGGGTGGGCAATAATGAAAACTGAAGGGTCACAAAGCTGCAATAGCATGCGTAGGCTCTTTGGCAGTGAACAGCTGGGAATGAGAGAGTCTCCAACCACTCAATAGTGAATCGGGCAAAGGTAAATGGGAGACAGTGTATGAGAACATGTCATCTGCTGGGTTATCATTGAAGAGATGTCTCAGCCAATTCACTTTTGAGTATGTTTACAGTGCTGGTGGCAACAGGATTTAATAAGAGCCCAGTTCTCTTTCTTCCCTCCCACCTTGGGCGCTGTTTTTCTCTTTGGTAGTGTACATGGTGTGCAACCCTTGGAAGTGTGCCTGATTTGGAGGGACTGCCAGCACAAGGTTCAAGTGTACTGACTCTTGAGCTGAAGTAATAGTGTATTAAATATAAATAAGCTTGGAAGGGAATCTCTTCAGCCACCTTTTCACTTCAAATATTAAGTATTTCAGGCTATTGGACTCTGATATATACATCTTTTTTTCTTTTTATTTTTACCTTTTCTTGTTTTTCTTTCCAAAATGACTATTACGTTATTTACACATCATGCTATACTGAAAAGCAGCAGACATATAATGAGAGGGTTTCAGATTATAAATGTAAAAAAAAAAAAAACACATCTATTTTTCATAACCATGGTCATTTTCACACTTTTATTTTACCACAGGAAACAAAAGCCATGTAAAATATACCTGTGGTACCTTTCACTGTGTTTGTAATATTGCAGTGGACCAGCTGCGCAGACTTCATTGCTGGCATACTTACAAATCTCTGACTGAAAAATAATAGTATGTTGCAGCTGGCATAAAACTGTAGTTTTCAAAGTGGAAAACTGAGTATAATGATGTCAACCAGATGCAATAATGATCAACTCTATGGGGAACCGTGGGACTATGTCTATCACATAATTTTTCATAGCAAAAGAAGATGAATGGTAAAGCTTATCTTAATGTATTAAGTTATTTCAAAATAAACATTTCCTTCAATGTTAAATTTTTCACAGATACAAGACCCTCCTAATGAGATTAGAAACACATGTAAGTTTAGCATGGGCTATGTGTACAGTCAGGATCATCAGGCTGTGCCTGTAGGTATAGCATATATTTAGACAAAGCTAAATGCATTTAGCCAGTGGTACTGTGACCTGAAAGAACAAGCACTGGGTGGTTTTGTGGTTAAAGAGCTACCTAAAAAGGCTGTGTATAATTGAGGTTTTAACTTTTCATAGTTTAACTGCAAAATGTTTTAACTACATAAGAGAGATAATATTTTTATCAAATTTAAATCACATAGGAAAAAGTTTGCATAGGCCTGGCTAATGAATTTAAAAGGGAAAACGATAGGTGATGTTTTCTTGGTTTTATTTAAATTTGCATTTTGGTTATTTTAAATAAAAAAGATGAAGGTGATTCTTTTGCATAATATGTTTGGAAAATGTTTAAGAAAAGGAATTGAAGGTCAACTTATATTTTTAGCAAAATAATAAACAGACTTCCAAGAGATTTGTACTTGATTTTACACTGTAGTTCTCAAGAAAAGGTCACCCTTGTTAATGCTCCTAGGTTAATTTATTTTTTTCACCATTATCTCTTTGTAGAGATATATTGATAAAGGAAACAGGACATATACATGGACTGCTGTGAATGGCACTGATTACAGGTAATTCACTTCTGTTCTGAGTTTTGTGTGGTTAAATACACTGTTTGTTTATTTTGGTTAATATTTTTACTGTTACATTTTCTGTACTAGGAGGACCACATTGTCTTGTTTCCAGGCTGATAGGGTTTTCTGAGTTGCTTAACAGCTCAGAATTGTTGCTCTGCCTAAGGACCAGAGTCTCAGTCTTTCATGCAGCTGTTGAGATTTAGCACTCGGGTATTTCAGTATGCAGGAAAGAAAGGTTTTTATGACGGATATTAAGAATCTTACTTTTGCTTCTGCTTTCTTTATCACAATACAATTTGACTCTCAATAGTATACTTTCTCTTAGATTCCTCCTCTTATTTTTCTTTTCTTTGAATTTTCTCCATGTTCTTGTTTTAACATTCATATTAACAAGGAAGATGCTGTATTTTGGGCTGAATGAAAAATGTGACATGTTTTGCGCAACTCTTTTTCAGTCACAGGCATTGCTTTTATCAATGACTGCTAATCTGCGTGTCAGATCATAGGGGTAGGAACCATGCTACTGATTTTCTCTGAAACCCATTTCTATTTGTGTCAGGTTTTAACTAATTAGCACTGATACTGGTTTGTATGCAAAAATTATATGGTGAATTGAGGCAGGAACAAACGAAGTAACGGATAAAAGCACATTCCCCCTTCAATGCAGCATTGGGGTGTGTATTATTTCAAACTTGTTTGAACACACAGCTCCATAACTTTAGATGTAATGCAGGAACTTGACATTATGCAAAACAAGTTAAGGTTTACCAAGTCCCAGAAAAATTCACAGAATCATAGAATAGTTTGGGTTGGAAGGGACCTTCAAAGGTCCCCCTGCAAGTTAAACTACTCTACATGGTACAAATACTGAGTCAAATTTTTACCAAAACAGTATCTTTACTGTGGTGAGTTGCAGTAGTCTCAGCCACGCTGGTTCCCATTTTCAGTTATGTTCTGCCAGTGTGTACAGCCAGTGAGAATGCCAGTGTTAATTTGCATGTAAAAACAATCAAATCAGTTTTTACAGGGAATGCAAATGTAGGCTCTTTTATTCAGCATCCAGTGTTTCTGTTGGACTCCCTCTATCTTTGTACTATGTAACACAATAAAGTTTTTATCAGATTGTGCAATCTAGCAATCGGTAAGGAAATACATTTGGGTTATATGACTTAATTCTTACTGAGCTCCCTGGCATGAAATACAACAAAAAACCCATCAAGTCACATTGCATAAAACCTATTAAACATGAAATTATAGATTTTAATTGGCAATTTCTTCTAGCAATAACTGTTAATGACAGGTAAACTCCTTCTGATTTCCCTAGGGAATTGGTAGAAGGCTATCACTAAATGTTCAGCAATCTCAGTTAATGTTCTGTTTAAATGACGTGTCACTAAAGGTCAACTCATTTATGACTCAACTGTACAACTTTATTAATGTTAATTTCTGTGGTTATCCATTAGAAACTATTGGAGTTCTACAGTGATGAAAATGCAAGTGCAAAAATTATGATATGGGATATGATATGATATGGGAGATGATTATTCCTCTTCAATGACTACACCTACGTCCCGTCCTTTACATACCTTTTTAGAAATGAACACTTCTACACATGTATTGAGCTTATTTACAAAAAGAAGCCCTATATTTTTGAAAAAAAAAAAAAGTAAAACCTAAAATACATTGCAAATACTTTGCAAATCTTAAAATGTTATTAAACAATGATCTTTAAAGTTTTTTGGTGGTGACGGCAGGATTCAAGAAAATATTTTGCATCTTGAATGTAATGTGAATTCAGGTATTGCCAGATACGTTTCCTAATGAATACTGAGAGCTTTTATATTAGTAAAAGGAGAATCTGTCATTCTATGATGCATGCAAATCCATTTAGTACCACATGGTGTTTTTTGCAGTCAGTTATCACTTTGACATCTATTGCATTGGGATGTTAAATGTTAGAGGAAGATACAAGAAACTGTGTCTTATTATTTGCAATTATTTCTAAATTCCTTGCTTATACATTAAAAAGTATATTTGTGCTTAAAAGAGTGAAAATAAATGCAGGCAGCTTTAGGACCAGCAAGAACATATTGTGTCTATATAGTGTAAGGCTAAGTACGTCACGATATGAACTATCTCATCTTATTCTTGATGAGCCAACTTCCAAATGTGTTAACTGCTTTCAAAACAAATAGAAGCTGAAACTGGAAAACTGCTACAAATAATATAATTGCTTTACTTGTCTCATTTCTATTGCAGTTTGGCATTGGTGTTACCATCATACAGCTTTTATTATATTAAAGCCAAAATAGAAGAACCAATAACTCAGGCCAGATGTAAGTACTATGAAGGTTCCCTGGTTTTGGCTAGTATTGCCAAGTCTCAGATACACTTAAAAAAAGCAGCATTTAAAATTCATAAATTTTGTGGAATTCACGGATGTTCTCATGATGTACGCGAAATCTGCAGCAATGATTCAAACCCATTGTAACATCCAAGGTACAAGAAATATTCTATAAAGATAGAATATGTGCAGATACCCCAGTTCCACTGACAATCCCTTCCCCCTTGCTCTGTGCCTATAGAATCATTGCTTCCTGTATCCTCTGTTGCTGTCATTTTAAGGGTCTGGATTCTATTTTTACATTCTATTAGTTAAATGTCATGATATAGACTACAGTAGTAAAGCTTTTTTGTTGTTGCAGTTATTTTTATAGTAGTTACAGTATAATATTTAGGAAATTGCCTCTGCTGCCTGTAGGAATAGATTAATGTGAAAGTGCTGTTTGGTTTGGCTTGCAGCTGGGTTTTTATTTTTCATTTTGCAAATAGTTTTAGTGGATGTTTGTAATGTACTTTTGGATTAGACTAATTTCAAGCCATTTGCAGATTCTAGAGAGATAATTGGAAATTATACTTGTGAGTATTCAAATGCTTTTTGTTTATTAGGTGTAGTTTAATCTAGACAGTAGACAAAATAGAACCCATCACGTCCTTTCAACTTTATCCAAGTGTTACAACAAACTTGAACAAATATGCTATTAAATGGAAAGTTAGAACAGCACTATGAATCTCTCTGACAGGCACAGATTGTCTCTTAGTTTAGAGAAAAGCTGGTTAGCACTAAATCACTGTCCTCTACTATTGCTCCTGCATATGAAGTGGAATATGGCAAGATTTAATAATCAGTAATTTATTTTTTAACTTTGTCAAACAGTAGTTTAAAGCTTTAGACAGTGAATATGGTTCTTTTGATGGAATAGCTCATCTGGTTTTACACTTACATCAATACAACCTGCAAAACAGACCCTTGAAATAGCCACAGTATATAGAAGGTACTTGAGAAATAATTGAGAGGGACGTTTTCTTCAGTCTTCAAAGATGTTTGTCTTTTTTCCAGACTACAGCTGTATGTAAACTGAACCTTTGATCTATCTATGCACAATATTTTTATTCAAGGGGCTGTTTGAATAAAATATTGGTTTGTGACCCCTTTTGCTTTACCCTGTTTTTTTCTGTTTCCCTGCTTTCTCTTTCTGATGGATAGTGGCAATCAAAAAGGGCAAGTATATTCTTGTTGCTCAATTTCCTTCTGTTTACTGCAGTTGATATTTTTCACTTGTATTTCTGTTCCTACTGGATACTCTCCTTCATATTCCTCATCTCAAGGTTTTTCCCATGATCATTTGTACCATAGCAATAGAAAGCGGAAAAAATAAAAATGATGTGAAGTGTTTGTTTTCATGCACATTTCAATATGTTGCTAATCTCTAATCCTTCTTTGTCTGGTCCTATCAGTGTTTAGTGACACCAGCTTTTAAAGTCATTATTTTCAGTAGCGTTGGGAGTAATGCTTATATGGATTAGTTTTCTAAACTTAATTGCAAAAAATGCTAGAAGGATTTTTCTTCATGCTCTTTTGTGTCCCAAATATTATTTTTTTATATCAGATTGTAGCTCTAATGAAAGCATCTCATATGTTTTCATGTTGTCATGCTAATGAGATGTCTTCTTTAAATAAGTTTTTACACACATGCCAGGTATGTGTTGTATATAAAAATCAAGTACATTCTTTCGATACTGTGAAATACTGAGAAGTATACAGTATATTAGTAGGAAAGTGTCTCAATATAAACATTTCTTTCTAAGTTCACTGATGCATGCAAAAGCTAGTCAAATATTTTGAGAAGAAAAATGATGTCAAAAGGCCCAGTTTACTTACTTGGTGTTTACTCTTCATCTTTGTAGATTCAGAAACGCTGAAGCTTGATAATTTTGATGAAGCTGGCTATACGTTTATAGCACCAAGGTTAGTTAATTTCCCAGTAATACTATTTCAGTGGTATAGACATTTGATCAGCTTAGTGACATTTACAAATACAGATTAGACCAACAAAGTTTTACGTTGGTAAAAGATATTAGTAAAAGAGTACTTATTAAATTCATGTTCTACAAGATCAATCTTCTTGCTGGAACATAAATAGCATCTTCAGGCTCTGATTCCTGTTTACATTAATCAGAGAGAGCTGTAAAATCTGATGTTGATGTTTCAGTGGAAATCTTGTACACATCTGTTCATTTCTTGTGGTTATGACTTCAAAGACTTTGAACTTTATACCTTAGCTTCTCATTTGCAAAATCAGTACCATAATACTTACCTTGAGATGTTTTCCAATTTTGAGATAAAGTGTTTCAAATCTAACACTGATGAATGAATTTTTCATTCATTGAACATATCTTAAAAAATGATTGAGTCATTGAAAATTGATTAAGTTCATTAGTTCCCTTTTTTTTTAATGTAGTACTCATTGCCCTTGTAAATTATATTTGCAAAGGAAAGGTAGCATAATACATAGTTCTTAAAAATGAAGTTCCTTTAAGTGATAGTTTAAATAAATAAGGAAAATGCTGTACTACAAAGCTCAGTTAATTGTTGAACTTCTTATTATATTATAAATATTTATATCCTTTTAAATTTCAAAATTAATAAATTGATTACAATGAATAGATTGATTTGGATGTAAAACATAGTTTTCTATCTTCAAATGTATTATCAGCTTAACTGATTATTTTTTTCTGAAAGACTGAAGTTATTGATAATCAATTGTACCAGTTAGTCATTTCCTGCAAGTCCCTAGTTGTTGGGCTGATCAACATGAACACTTGATATGGAAGTCTGTTAAAATGTGAAGTTGGTATAGTAAGGCGAATTCTGCCTGCAGTCTTTCAGGGATGCAATAAAGTAAGTAAAGGGTAATAAGATAGCTTATTCATATGAAATACTTGAACAGGCTTCTTTTGTTCATAAAAATAATTTAATATAAAAACCTCATTTAAAAAGAGAGCTCCCTGCTTTTCTGATGAATGCCCTCTACATTTTAATTAAAGTTGTTTAATGGCACTCACCATCTAATATTTGCCTTCAAAATGCCCAGTGACTTTTATTGTGCTTGCTTGCATTAGATGAATTGCCTAATGATATATTGCTTTACTTTATTACATTGTGTAAAGGACAGTAGTTTACTGTTTATCTGGTTTGCATATGTCAAAACAAAGAGTGTTTATGTGCTTATGTGGTATGTACCCTATTAAAATTGCCTTTAAGACTTCTCAGAGGATAGGACTGTGTCCCATAAATCCAGACTTAGTCGAGCATGAAGTGACTATGTTTTAATCAGCAGTTCATGTATTTTTCAGGACAGTTTAGCCCAGGAGCAGTATAAATTCACTGGGCATTTTCTTGTTTATTTTACAGACTATGATCTCCCAGTTTCATGGTCTACACTAGTCCTGAGTACTTTTTCTGGGAAACTATGCCCAATCTCATACATGTCAGATTGAGGCAGGGACTTGAACACTTTATTTCTTGTAGATGCCTGAAATATTCAATATGGTTAACATTCAGTATTGACTATGGTAGTCAGCTGATGCAGTAGTGTCAGCCTGATAGTTGCACAGTCCTACTTGGACTTCTAAATTGCTGAGCCATATTTCTCTGCTTTATCTGAGAAGCATATCTGAGAAGATTATAACCTGAGAAGATAATTGTTCTGATGTTTTTCAGAGAATATTGTAGTGATGTAAAAAAATCAGAAAACAACACTGAATTTCTATTAAATTTCAATGAATTTATTGACAGAAATACTCCAAGCAGTCCATCATGTAAGTATTCTTCTCAATTCACTGATTTTTTCTTCAGGAAAATACATACTAGTAAATGAGAACTAGTCTAAATGACAGCTTTCATGTCCAAATCATGTGCTTTTGGTTTTTATCTTTGCTGACTTGATATTTTATTCTTTTTTTAGTAGAAATACATCTAGTGCCAGAATTTTCTACCCAAGGTAGAGATTGTCTGATTAGTTTGCAGTTTTCTGGTTTTATTTAAGAAAGTTTGCAGGACATTGCATTATGCCTCCAGTGTTTTCCACAGTTCCTCTCAGCATTCTCTTCTAGCAGCAAATGCTACTAGTTCTTTTTCATACACTCCAGATATTTTAAATCTGTATTTTTTTTCTCTTGAGTACAGCAGCCAAAGTAAGTCTCAAATAGACTTTAAAATCTTGTAGTGACATCTTCTGTCTGCTTTCTTGTCAGTGTATATGAGTAAAATAAGTAAAGAAAAGGAGCTGAGAACTAAAATAGCCAATAACCTGAACAAAAGATAAGTTCTACTGCTGGTTAGCGAATTGGTTAAAAGGATCTCATTTGGGCTTGGGTTAAGACCACAGATTTGTGTAACTGCTACAGTGGTGAGACTGGGCTTTGGGAAGGTATTCATGTTCTGCAATTGGGCCTTAAATACCATTTAGAATAAATGAGTTAATGCTTTTGAATGAACCATGAGTAATGCATTAAAGTCTTGTTCTCATGAAAATGTTTGGATTTGCTTGTTTATGCATACCAGTGTGTTTAGCATTATTAATAATTTATAATCAGTTGGAATATACTTTTTTCTTTTCTTGCATTCCCTGTGTCTTTTTAGCATGTTATTGTCATGGATCACTGAATCTTTCTGCTGAATCAGACCATGTTACTGAAGGAATGTGCACTTAGATGTGCGATCTTCTCACAAAAGACTATTTTTGTGTGTATGTGTGGGTGGTGTTCTCAATAGAATGATCTTGTTCACTGACATGTTACTGACTGACCAAAATTTTACTGGAGTTTTTTGACTCAATCTTAAAAGTCAAGGCATTCACCCCAACTGATTAAATTAGTTAAAAAATTAAAATACTAGTTTGATATTCACTAGTTTAAGCAAATATTGAGGGCACATGTAATGCTATTGTAGTATATGCTAGGACCTAATAAGTAATGATGCCAAAATGTTATCAAATTACTGCTGTATTTACTTTTGGAATCCACAACGATTTCACTTTTTCCCTTTTCTTTCCTAATACTTAAGTTACTTTAAAAATAGTCTCCTGAACAAGTAAACAGTGTTTGCTGAAGAAAACATTGGCTATTAAAATTATCTCAGCTAAAAATGCTTTTCAAAAGGAATAACTAGAAAAGTCCCCAAAGAGAAATAATCTATAAACTAGGTAAACTGTTAGATGTTAGCCAGAAAGTCAGACAACTACCTCTGTCGTCACTAAGGGGACAGTAAAAGCAATTCACCCTACTTGTCTTCAGCATCTGCTTCCTATAAGTAGTCAAGTCTCACTTTGTGGAGGAGCATGCAGCACAAGGGGATCCTAAACAAAAAATGGACCAAGTAAAATATTAGGAGAGACTCTGAGAGACATATTTGGATATTTTTATTCATCTAGACTATCAATTTAATTTCTAGAAAAATACGAATGCAGCAAGGTGACATATCAATCTAAGTGACTAATTGAAAATTAGTTTATCTTCCTATACCCATTTGCAGAAGGCAAATAGGTTTTGTTGAGAGGCTGGGACCTAGGTGATATATATTTACATTGTAGTCGAATTATCTTAATTTTTTGTAACATATAACTAAATGTTGTTTTGTTGCACCACCTGAGAGAAAAAGTGTTTGAATGAGCACATGCTTTAAATATAGGTTACTTTCCAAGTCTAACACTGAGACTTTGCAAAGTTGGGATCTGGACCCTTTCTTATTCCAATGACAGAAAGATAATTTTTTAGGATACAGTGAAGGAAAAGTTTAAGTGAAATTAACAGTGTGAGAGCAATCTATTTAATGATAAGTGATTTACATAATTTAGACAGTCTGTCAACAGGAATAGCCAAATTTTTGTGGCTATAGAATCTCAACAGCTCACAATTTCATTTTATCCACTTTATGAAATTCCACATCATATGTGTGTCTTAATTCTTTTGATAGGTAATACTGATATGGTCATTAGAGCTTTGCTGGATGCAGGATTTACAAATGAACTGGCCCAAAATTATTGGAGTAAGCTGTCTCTGTAAGTATTCATTTTATTGACTGTGATTTTTTTTTATGCATTTCAAAGTCTGATAATAAAATAATATACATGTATATGTATATACAGTTAATTTTTACACAGGATAGATATTTAATTCACAGTTATGCACTTAAACGGAAACCCTTAGCATAGGAACTTGTGATAAATTTGGTCAGTTTTCATTTTAAGTCTTATTTTTGCTTACAGCGATGGAGTTGTTGCACAATTTGTTGTTACAGACGGTGGAATTACTAGAGTGTTCCCAAAAAGGTAACAAATACTATAAAATAGTACAATATGATCATTTTGAAACCTGAAGAATGGAGTGCTAAGTAATGGGTTTATTGAATTAAAAACAACTTCTACATTCTGGTCTGTGATAACTATAAAATGGAATGTCTTGTTTTCCTTTGATTTTCCCTGTGTCACTGCTTGAAACTGATCTGTAACATTATTTCCATAACAAGTCTTGTAATCCAAGTTTCTAATCAGTGTAAAGTAAATGCAGTGCCCTTGTAGTAGCAGTGGGGCTGTACTAATCCCTAATTACTCCTAAGCACTCATTTTCCTTGACAGGCCTGTACTGTAAAGCAGTGGGCGATCTTTTATTTTTTAGAGCAATTAAGAGCAGACCAAATGATCCAGGGACCCCAGGAGAGAAAAATGTATCATTACCAGAGGGCAAAAAGGAATGTGAAAGTTATCCTATAATAAACCATACATCCCCACCAGTGACTGAGAGTAGTGTGGGCACCAGTATACATATATTGGTAAATGGAAAATGTGTCTATTCTCTTAGTTTATCCTGTGTTTCCCAAAAATGGGAAAATGGCAGTGCATTTTGCTCACCAAATTATTTTTTTTTTCCTGTTTTGGTGTTGTTAATAATATAAAATCTTTCAGAATGACAGAACCTTGGGCAACATGGTCTAGGGTAAGGCATCCCTGCCCATGTCAGCAGGGTTGGAACTAATGTCCTTTCCAACCCAAACTGTTCTATGATTCTGTGATTTCTCCGGAGCTAGTGTGTGCTGTAAAGTTTTGATTATATTTTCTTGCAAGTAGTTTTGCAGTTACATTTGTCTCAATGTATCTAAAAATGATGAGACAAGATCCATGTTTTTCCAAGAATACTAATTTCTTCTTTGTTTTCAAGGTTTGTTTAATAATTACACCTTGCTGTTACCCAGGGAAAGCTGACAAAATCTCAGGGCTATATGAATGAATCTCACACTGTTTCTGACTGTGAAACATTAAAAAGACCATAATAATTCTGCAGCACAACTGTAATGAGACTCTTAAATATCTTTTTTGATCACTTTTGTGTGTGTGTGTGTGATTAGGGCAGGAGAAGATTGGCTGGAAAATGCTGAAACTTATGAAGTCAGCTTCTATAAACGGAGCTTAGATAATGACAACTATATTTTCACAGCTCCATACTACAACAGTAAGTCATCACTGTTTTGAAATGTCAGAGCTAGCTAGACAAATGTAAGAGTACTTCTGGCAGTTTCCAATAGCAGTTGAGGTCACTGACAAAGGATGCAAGTGGGGCATTTCATATGGAAAAAAATCTTGGGACATCACCCATTATTAAGGAAGTGGTAGCTAGGAGGTCACTAAACAAAAGGTATCATTGTTTTTATTGACACAGTGGCCTGTATGCTAAGAATCAACAAAGCTGAAAACATGCAGAGTTCTGGTGTTTGCGTATTATACTGAAACACTATTTTACAAAGATGCTTTGTCAAAATTGGTTTAAGAGGAAGTGAAAAAATACTGCACTCAAGGACTGTTACATTACCTTAAAAATCCTTCCTTGAGCTGAGATTTTTATACTTCCTCAGCACCAAACCTAACTTGGGGGAGCAGGAACAAGGGTCCAAAGTCTACAACAACAAAGCCCACTGCACCACTGCTGACTTTTAGTGTTGCTTTTGAATTCTATTGCAAATTGCTGTTATTCACCAAAACCAGTTTGTCTGAAATACCATGATATTTAAAACCTAAATATGTATGATAGTACTCGTTACTGATGTGAGCAGCATTAACTTTGACAAGCTCATCTAAAAGGCGGATGCTACCACAAATGTCACACTCCTCTCCTAAACATACAGGATCTTTTATTGCTGTTATTTCATACTTACTTTTTGCATCTTTTCTCAATAAAATGTTAAGAAGGTAATTGACTATATTCCCTGAAGCCTTTGTTGTTCCTCATGAGCTCCAGGGAATGTACTTTTAACTTGCTTTTTCATAGTAAGCAGTGTTGAAAACAGGCTGAAGTCTGTCAGAGAAGTAATTGTTGGTCAGTGAGTGGTGTCAGTACACCCTGCACTGAAAAATTCACAGACGACAGCAGGATAAAATCTTTGGCTCGGATCCTGGTTTTAACAGAGCTGCTCACATGTGTAAATCTATTCATGGCTCTGTCTGTAGGAAAAGAAAAAAAGGACTACAGTAACTTTATGAAGCAGGGAAACCATGTACCAAAAGTGAATGAAGAAAATTAAACAAACGTATTCCTTTTCGTCATCCAGATGTTAGTGATCTGAGCTATTACAGGTGATAAATGTGCAGTACAGCTGGGTCAGTGCTTTTGAAAAAGGGGTTTTTTTGAATCATTCTGGGTATTTGGACAATCATTAATTTTGGTTTCAGAGGTTAGAACACCCTAACCTTTTCTTTTCCCTTCTATACTCTCAGAAAGTGGTGCCAATAGCTATGAAACAGGTATTATGGTAAGCAAGGCTGTGGAAATAACAATTAATGGGAAGCTTCTGAAACCAGCAGGTAAGATAGAAACCACTCTAAAAACATTAGTTATTTGCTTGTTGCTCAACAGTGAATTAAAAATTTTATTGAGATTTCAAAGGCACTTCATATAACATTCTTGTCTCTGAGACTGTTTTAATCTTGCTAGAGTAAATCAAGCCAAAGATCTGGTTGTGTTTGAGTTGGAGTGCTTAATTTATTAGTCTTATGAAGAATGTTGGTGGTCAGACAACAGAGCAAAAATCATATTTTATCTTTTTCCAGTTTAATAATTGAAATGTTATGATAATTTTTCCTTATTTTTAGAATTCTACAGTTACCTTTTATTTTTTTTTTTCATTTTACTAAAAAAGACTTTCATGTATTTCTTGTTAGTTGTTGGAATAAAAATTGATGCAACCAGCTGGATGGAAAATTTTACAAGAACCACAATCAAGAGCCTGGTAAGCAACTGACCAAGTCTTTTTTGAACTTAATTTGCATTTCTTAAAGCTTCAGATGCAAATAGGTCCAATAGCTCTTTGTGCCAGAGTTACACTGATGCATAGTTGCCAAGTGGTTGTAGTATTTAAATCATCCAAATGCACAAAATAAATCTATGTTGAAATAGGCGGTATTTTGTACTTCTTGCTTTCATAATTACAGAACGTGGATAAAGACAAAGAAAAATGACATATTCCAGCCAGTAGGTTCCCTACTAAGATTACGCTGTAGCAATTAATTAAATCTGCAAAAGAACTGGTGACTCTATTTTTATTTAATACGGAGAATAGGTAAACAGTGAACAATAAGGATTTATATTGCAACCAACATCACAGCAATTTAGCAGAACTTAAGAAAATAAGTGCATGACCCTTTCATTCCTTATATCTAATGCTTAGGTGTAAAGGGGAAGGCAAAACTAAGGAATTAATGTACACTGGGGAAGGAAAGGCACAAAATGAACATAATTATGGAACAATTAGATAAGTCAATATTTGTTGTTGGTTCTGTATTAAGGGAATTGAGAACAGTGTCCATTGTAGGCATTAAAGCTGTAGTTCAAGGGGTAGGAACATTCATTGCCTAAATGTCAGAACAGTGAAGGACAAAAATACATAACTGAAAAAAGAAATAAAGAGGAAAATCTCAGAATTAATTTGAGATGAATGACTGCGGCATTATCCGATAGTTGTTTTGCTCGGGGCATAAAGCAAGGAGACAGTTATACTGGTCTTTATAGACATATTGCAAGAAAAAAAGAACACGTAATCAAATCCATGAAACCTGACTGGTGATGGTGGGCTTCTAGAACTCACAACAGTGACATCCTGAGAAGTCCTCCAAACTAATATTTCTCTAATATATTAAGGATACTTAAAAAGGGAGATGTATAGGAGACTTTGTAAAAGACAGTAGAGATTATGCTGTTGATAATTACTGAATGCAGATTGTTCACAGAGATATTTGTGATAAACTAGGCACACTCAAAATTAATTTAACTTAATACAGAGATACTGAAAATCAAATCACTTCTTGTCTTGAATAATATCACTGCAAAATAGAGTTTCTATTGAAACATTTTTGTGAATTTTACTGTACTTATTTTTTTTAGTGCAACAGTGAAATCTGTGGCTGTGAGAAAAACAGTATGGTAAGAATATGTTCAGTTTATTAATATCTGGCAGATTATGAAAATTCACTCATTCTACCTTTATTTAAGACAATGATTCGATCATTTTTAGGTTAATTTTACAGAAAACAGGACTTATGTTTTAAGAAAGAAATTAAGATAAGGAAATGAAGGGGTAAAAGGGTATAAAATTCAGGTGAAGTGGTGGTTGTGAGAATCATTGCAATGAGGTTATGAGAACTAGAGGGAAGAAAAAAGGTAGTGATAGCAATAGAGAATGATGTGATGAGAAATGTAAGAAAAATGTAACGGTAATTTTCAGTGCAAGAGGTGAATCCTGAGGAAAGGGAATATTAAAGAAACAAACAAACAAAACAGAACTCAGAAAAAGAGCACCTTAGAGAAGATAAAGACAAACTCAAAAGCACCAGAGTATGTGATAAGCCCTTCAACAGTCCTTAGTCATCCTTGTCTCCTCCATTCCCAGCCCATGCAGGACTGGGGGATCCTGTAGCTCTGCTAAGGCTCAGGAGAGCACAGCTTCAGGGGCTATCACAGTATCAGATTCTGCCATGTGCTTAAAAGCTTTCTCTGCTTTTTCTCTGGTCTTCTGTGAGTTCTTTTGTGGAGTGTGAAGATCATTAAATGCAAGAGTTGCAGCTAAAAGGGTGCTCTGGGAGGTTATCTATTTGGCCTCACTGCTATCTTTCCAATCTCTGACTGCTAGGATCTTTTACAAAGTGCAAAGCACAGAGAACCAGTGCTTCTCACTCCTGCACCTGACACCTGGAAGAAACCCACTACAGTTCTTGGCAAGCGAAAATAATCATGACTAGCAAGCTGAGAGTCTGCCCTTAAAGCTTTTTGCCATTAAAAGCTGCAAATGGAAAAGGACTTGAAGCATGGCTGAAGCACATGAGAAGTTATAGTACCTTATTACGAGTTAAGATTCAATTATAATCAGATTTAATAAGGATATAGCACTCTTAGAGCTAACAAAGTATTGAGCAAATAAGAATTTACAAAACAACTTTTATGAAATTAAGCCACAAATAAGCCTTTGATCTTACAAAATTTTATAATATGATAATGCTGCTTATTATAGCTTAATATTGGCCCTTGGCTGTGGGGTTGGGTTGTGATTTAGCCTGAGCCACATAGATTTAAAGATAATTATGAAGTGTTGAATAAAAAACAGGTTCTTACAGAGTGCTGTCCTGACAAATCCTTCCTGTAAAACATATTTTACTTTCTTACAATAGCATGTGGACTGTGTTATCCTTGACGATGGTGGATTTCTTTTGATGTCAAATCGGGATGAATATACACAGCAGGTATGTATAGGTTTAAGGACAGAACATGAAAAACAATGACAAGTTTTAAGAGAAAAAAACATCATTTCACTTGCAACTTACCCTAAGAATAACATTTCTGAATGACAAAAAGTTTGCTGGTTCAGAAATTCAAGTTATTTTGTAAGTCTTTTTCACACTTATGGCTCAAGATGCCATACTCCTACAAAGTTGCATTCTTTGTGCTCTGCCCTTAAACAGGTTAGGCTGCTGATGGACCCGTGATGGTGAGGGCAAGTAGTATGGCATCAACACACCCACTTTCTCATATTTCTCTTGCTTTCCCTGGAGCAGAATAATCTCATTAATAGTGCATTTAACAATTATTGTCTAACTGGAGTTCCAACCAAGCTTTGGGGAGATAAATAGTCAAAGAAAGAAATAAATGCATAAGCAGCACAGCCAGATGAGTTGTGTAGAGGAAAAAAAAACCTAGTGTGTGAGTGGTGGAAGCAGACTTTTTTACTTTTTTAATGAGAAAAATACCTGGAAATACTTCAACATATCTTTATATGCTCCCTCATCAGATTGGAAGATTCTTTGGTGAAATTGATCCTGGCCTGATGCGAAACCTAATTAACATGTCCCTGTATGCCTTTAACAAGTCGTATGACTATCAATCAGTCTGTGATCCTGAAGAAGAACCAAAGCAAGGAGCTGGACTTCGTTCTGCTTATGTGGTCAGTAGTCCCTTGTCTGATGACTGACATTCCCTTAAAAATCTGCAGGTGCTTATACAAATAACATTGTCTCTGTTGTTTTTTTCCCAGCCTACGATAACAGACATTTTGCATCTAGGATGGTGGGCTTCAGCAGCTGCCTGGTAAGTTCAGATGTGTAAGAAAACTGTTATGTCCAAACTAGTATTCAGTGGGTGAATAGTAAACCTGCTCTGAATCCTTTAGTTTATGCAGTTTCTTATGGTGAAAATTCATAGCTGTGTCTCCAGTGTTCTACCAACAGCTGAAGACAAAACTACTCTTGTGTGGTTTTGTGATTGTGTGTTCTGACTCAAAAATCAGCTACAGGAAGCTACAAAATCAGCTTCAGAAAGCAGACTTGTGATTAATGTTCCAATTCTGATTGGCAGGTGTGAAGGTTCAGGTGAAATTATTACATTTGGAATTACTGATCACCTGATTCCCTATTTCAGAATATCATCTTTCCCTTCTTCTAGCAAGAAGTCTTAAGAAAATCAGTGGTCACCTTAATTGAATCATTTTACAAAAACACGAATCACAGAATCGCTTGGATTGCCTACCTGCATTTTCTGTAGCCAAGGGCAAAAGTTGGTATATCTGGACTGTTGTGAGGTTCTGGGATTGACCTTGAGAGAGGCAGGATTACACCAGTAATAAGGTTTATCTTTCACAGTCAGAATGCTGGATAAATTTTAAAGCTAAAGATCCATTTAAGCTTTCTTTTTTTTTTACTTTGGTTTCTGCATTGTTAATAATAGCCACAGAAAGAATTTTACTTACTTCAGAGCCATGTAGATAGATACTGCTATGAGCCACTCTCTCCAGCACCACGTTGGGATAAGTAATGGGGACTGATATGGTACTCTTGCACTGGTCTCAATTGCACTCTTGGAGATGGTTCCTTTTTCTAAAGTTCTATGGTGCCTTTTTTTTTTTTTTTAGAATAATTATCCAGCTGGAATAAATTACCTACTTAAAAGCTAAGAGTTAAAATATGTAGCAGCTGAACAAACATAGTAATTTTCTCACAGATAACGCCATGAAAATTGTATATAGGTTTTTATTGGTTACATTTTGTTAACAGAAGAAATATCAGTTTTCTTGGACAACAGCAAACCTCAAAAACTGGAGATGGGCAATAATCCAGAAGAGAAACTTGAGCTCTTCTCAGAGAAACTTTAGTTTATCAGTGTTCAAATCAGACTCAGTAGTCTGGACTCAATTTAGACATGAGGTTTATTTTGTGTGACGTTTAACTTGAAAGCATCACATGAAAGTACTTTCTGTGGACGTGTTTTTAATGGAATCTAGGTCAGAAGCAGGCAGAGAGGACCATTAAGCAAGCAGGGTGAAAAAGGTCTGACCAAAAATGGAATTAGTGAGGCACCTGGCAAAAGCAAATGCAAGGAAATAAGAGAAACCAGGTTATTAAAGAAAACTATAGTGTTTCAGGAAACAATGTGGGATAAAGGTGTGAGTGATAATATTCAAAATGTATGTGGGCTGCATCAGCATTTAGTTAAGAGAGTAGGTATCATTTCTCCGTCACGCTCTTTTAACTTGGATTTTACAAGCTGCCTTTTTCACTCAGTTCCCTGTAAAATCTGTGGTAAGCCCTTATGAAGCATTGCAATTTTCAGTCAGTAAATTTCATCACTGTTGAATGGCATCAGGTCTCTTCTCATCCATGATGGTTGGTGCACTGTCCATCTGGTGATTCAAGGCACAAAGATGAGGATATGAACCAGTGCTCATTCAGGCAGTGCTTCCACTGGACAGGTGACAGGCAGATTCAGTTTCTTTACATGTGTATTCACACTGGATTAGGAAAAAAGGAAAAAATCTTGGCAGCTGAAAAAAATTACACATTCCCTCTACTCTGCCGAACAGGCATTAGAATAGAATGACATGGGAAGAGGTCAGGTCATATTTGTAAGCAGAACAACACCTAAAACATAACAATAAACTACACCTTAGAATGTTTAAGCAGAAGCAGTGAGTCCAAGAATATAACTTGCAATTCCTGTTTTGACATGTTAGATTGAAGGGGGCCATGTATGTGGCAAGTTGGTACTGACTTCAAGTAAATAAAATAGGAAAAATATGATCATGAGTGAAGAAAAATAATCTTAAATAAATGGACCTCCTTAAGTGTTTCAGCTGCATCTAGGAGGAAAACAAATTTCATATCTCAAGAGCAGGAATAGAGATGATTCTAAAAGTCAACTACTACAATAATTGTGTTATAATACACTTGTAATATTTCAGTGGTCATCTCCTTCTCAGCAATTTAATGAACCTTAATCAGTGTAAAGTATCTAATTCAGGAGCATTTTCCCCGAGTGTGTTAAAAAGGAGTTCTGGTTGGTTGAAGTGTTAAAGGAATGCCAACATACCTCTTCCACCTCCCGCAGAGCTGTGAAAGGAGGACATGGATGACAAGATAACATTTCTATTATGTGAGTTATGGGCACAAATGATATCAACTCTCAACAGCAGAATAAAAGATTAGTGAGAAAGAAGACCTGGGAGAAAGTGAGAAAAGGAAACCAGAATCAAACTGCAGTGTTTAAAAAAAGACAGCTTTAGTAACTGGCAAGTGCAAAACAAGCCATGATGACTGTGTTGTTTATAATTCTTATTTGAGTAGTTTTTAAGGATCCATTAAAATACAAAGAAGACAAAGAGCCTTTAATTGTCTTTTTGTGTTCAGGTCTATCTTACAGCAGCTGTTTTTGAGCTTGACTTTTCCACGTTTCCTTGAAGCAGGTAAGTCAAGAGAATGTTAAAGAGTCAACTTTGAGTGAAGTAGAAGGTAAGAATCTAGGCTGGGGGCCATACTTGGATCTCCCCATTGCATCTGTGACTTAAAAATGTCATTTTATATTTATTTATTTTTGTCTTTCTGTCAGCTGATATGGAAGATGATGATTTTGGTGCTGCCCTGCCTAAAACAAGCTGTATCACTGAGCAAACTCAGTATTTCTTTGAAAATGATGATAAATCCTTTGGTGGGATTGTAGACTGTATAAACTGCTCCAGGTAAAATTGCTTCAATATAAGTAATAACTTTTGGATATTCATTTATTTACCAAAAGATAATTACACTATTGTAGGAACAAAAAATTTTGGATTAATTGCGCCAAACTTACATAAGAAAGAGAGAGGGGTATATAGGCAGTAAAATGATAAATTGCATTTTTTTGTATTTGTTTATAATGAATTTTAATAGTAATAATTACAGAATTATAGAAATGTTTAGGTCAAATTTTTGTTTTATAGTCTGTATAAGCTCCATGAAAATTGTATTTCTATCCTTGTTACAGTTTGGATTTTTGAAATTTATTATGCCACCTTGAAGGCATTCCACAATATTCAGAAGGAGATGATTTTCTTTAATCTGGTTATGTACTGGTATTTTTGATGATTAAAAAGATTGTGCAATTTACCTTCAAATTTACCTTCTAGTCAATAGCGCTCATGATTTAAGAGCTGTGGATCTTATTAAGCAAGCCATGTTGTTTTGGTTTGTGATTAAAAGACTTACTTTCAGGCTCCATGTGCCTATTCAAAATGATGTTTAATGTTATGGTTAAAAAAAACTCGATACTTCAGAAACATAGCACCTTGGACCTAGTTCTGCGTTTCTTGCAAAATCCTGCTGGGTTGAAAGTTTGCATACATTAGAAGTTTCTGAAAATGTATTGGAGATTAAAATTAACAGTCAAATTTCAAACTGCTTGAAGATAATATTTCAAGCCAGGAAAGAAAGATAGAGGATATGGTGAATTCAGACAAAACATGAAGACATTTTTTCCTACTTCTATACTTCCTCCTCCATGTTGCTAGTATGTGTTTGTGCTGTACCTGATTTTGCAGAGAACTCATTAAGATGGGGTTTTGGTTTCTGTAAGGATTTTGGCATGGGTTTGGTTTTGGTTTTGGGGTTGTTTTTTGTTTGTTTGTGGTTTGCTTTTGTTGTTTTTTTTTTTAATCTGGAGAGTTTTCAAAAGAGTTGTTCAGTTTACTGAGAGGCTGCAGAAGCCCTTTCAGTAATATTGCAAAAATAGTGCCACGGTGTGAGAATGAATATGGAAGGACAATTTAAGCTGGTTAAAACAACCAGATACGTAAGCACAATGTAAGGTATTTAATTAACAGTTATTTTGTCCTCCTGTTGTACCCAATCAGTGGTACAATCTCTTCATCTGTGAAATTTATGAAATAATCCAATCAATTCACACCTAAGTAACAAAACTCTGCTTATATAGACTGGTAACCACCTATATTAAAAGATTTGTTTGTTGATTTATATGTATATTTGTTGGTTTATATGTATTAAAATATATTTGAATCCTCTAAAAGCAATTAACCTGACAGGTTGTCCTGACTTTACCTCTTTTTGACAGCTAAAACATATTTTATTAATGACTAAGAAATGCTAAGATTTATTTCTCTGGGATTTTTTTGAAGAGCTGCCTGCCTTTCCAGGAAATTTCTATTTTGTTTGTTTTTTGTGATTGGGGGTTTTCTCAGTGTTGTTAGGGGAGGAATCGATGCTGGACTGGTTTTATTTCTCAGTGCAGCCGCTGTTGTAGCAGTACAAAACTAGCTATTAACTCAATTAAATTCACTTTATGTTCTTTTCCATTTTTTCCACTAATAAGTCTAGCTGAAAGGGGGACCACGGAAATGTCAAAAAGATTACAAAATTTGTTATAAACGTTGCTTGCTGTTCATTAATGAGAAAGCTAAACAGTAGCAGGCAGACTGAATCTGTGGAGTTGAATTACTTCTATTCCAATACTGTGTGTCCTTCTCAAATAGGGATTTCCTTGCTTCATTTAAACATAGGCTTTTGTTGGCTTTTTTTCCAGGCTTTATCATGCAGAGAAGATTTCAAACACCAATCTAGTATTCATTATTAGTGACAGCCAACTGCTGTGCCGCTCCTGTGACCCAAAGCCACTCATGCAAGCAGAGAAGCCGGGTATCCTTTAAGATCATATTATTTAATAGTGTGGATTGATTTTTGGCAATGATATGGTGGAATATATTTGGGGAAAAAAAATGGCCCTTTTGTATACATGTTAGTAGCATGGTTGCCGTTGAAGTACTTGAAGGAGCAGATATTTGTGGATGATACCCCGAATGGCTTGCAGCAGGAGGCACTGAGGTAGGAAGCAAAGCTGTTACTCATGAGGACCTAAACAGAAATGGGCTCACAGGAATTTAATGAAGTTTCCAAAAAAGCAGATGCAAAGTCTTGGATCCAGGACACAATAATGACATGCAGCTGGACAGGCTGGGAGCAGAGTGACTAGAAACAGCTTTGCAGAAAAGGACTTGAGAATCATGATGGACAAGAAGCTGAACATCAGTGGGCACTGTGCTTTACAATAAAGAGGGCTAGTCACATCCTGAGCTATGGTAGCAAGGGTATAGTCAGCAGGCTGGGGGAATTGATCCATGCCATTTCTTCAACACTAGCGAGACCACATCTGGAATTCAGTGTACAGTTTGGGCCTCCCCACTACCACAGTTACATACTGGAGGAAATCCAGTGAAGGGCCACCAAGGTGGTTGGCATCTGGAGCATAAGACAGGCAAGGAAGCTTGTTAGGGTTTGTTCAGGTTTTAGAAAAGACAAGGGTATGTCATGTTTGTGTCAAGAAATGACAAAAAAGGGCAACACCAAGATAAGAGCATTTGGTTGTGAAAAGTTGGGATGCTGCCCTGATGCGTGGAACACTGAGGTGAAGTGATGGAGGACATTAGTGTGTGCTCAGCGCCAATGAGAACTTTTTACTTGTGGAAACTGCTTTAACCATCAAAGGCTAAAGTTTATCCAGCTGCTAGCATAGAATTTCTTCCGAGCTGGCTGGAGACATAAATGGCTTACATGCTAAGCAGAGTCCTTGCAACTGATGCATTAAAATTAAAAGCGTATGAAGGGTGGTTCTTATTTACAACCACCTCCACACCAATCTCTATGCCTTTAGCCTGTTCACTTGTTTAGATACCTGTAGGAGATGCTAATGGTAATACATAAAACCGACAAACACATATTCTAGGCCAGGATAAATCCATTTTAATTTTTCTCTGCTTAAGGATAATATGCCAGAGTTGGTAAATCAAATTATAATTTGGATTAGTATGAACAGAATATGGAAAACAATTTGTAATACCTTTGTCCATGTCAGGAAGTTAGTTTGGACAGCTTCTCCCATTCCTGAAAGAAAAGCAGATGGTAGTAGAGATGGCTGTGTTTCTTTGGCACAAGCAATGCATTCATTGCCACATGAATAAAACTAGAATTCCATCTACGCTTGGGTTGAAAAGGAAGTTACATTGGGGTGGAAGAAATGCCCATGTCATCACAGAACTGTGTAAACACAGCCCAATATTCTAATTGGCTCCAGTCCATGACAGTTTGATTAACTGTTGCCACTGTCTGAATTTATACACAGTGCTTGCTATAGGAAATTGAGCATGTTTGGTGGGAAATGGGCACATGACTTGCCTTTCCCTGTAGACCCAAAACCTTCTAGAAAGCAGTAAAAGACCCAGAGCAGCTGGGTGGGCTTATACTGACTAAATGCACTATTTCGTCTTTGTTCCCACCATGCAGTACTAAGCTATTCTCTCTTTTCTATAACTATGGTGCATTATGAAATGCAGATGTAGCATAACATCACACAAGCAGACAGAATGACCTTTGGGTGCTGTTCAGATGGTTATTATTAAACTCTGCTTCCTTCTGGCTGATACAGCTTTCCTCATACACATTGCTCTTAGAATGTTTCCGAGGTTTGACATCCCTTTCAGCTGGGCCCTGGCAGAGGAAAGAGGAGGTGAATCTGATAACACTGGGACAAAGACAGATGTAGATCTGTACAACTAAATTCCCTGTCCTCTTGCCTTCTCTTCCATTGGACGTCTCCACTCTTTGCAATGAAGCTGCTGTAGTACTCCACAGTAGTGTATGCATAGGATTGCTTCAAGTATAAGTTAGAGCTACTAAGATAAGTAAAGTCTTGGTGCTCAATTTTTTTAAAACACTCTAGATTAGCTTTAACGTATACTACCAACTGTGGAAGAAAAAACCCTTAACTTGGTGTATGGTAGTAGAAGCAGGTTTCAAAGAGAAGGCCGTTTTGCAGTATACTGCATCCATGCCTTTCAAGTTTGCTGCAGTAACTTGTGTCCCTTGTTAGCCTGTGGCAAATGTGAAGTGTAGTATTTACACTTAAATATCAGCAATTACAGATTTCAGAGACACAAGCTAAAGCACTACCTCATGTTTACAGTTAGCTAATTAATAGCGCGTCACTGGTCCCATTTCTATCCTGCTGTTCTGCTATTAGTTTGGACAGCATTTTCTTTGTCTCCTTCATCACTGAAATGCTAATGAAATCTGATTAGGTTTTCTGTCATTAACTCTCTATGCCAACATAGGATGATCTTGCCTATGATTTTTGGGGTACTAGAGATGTACACATAATTAAACCAGTAGTTCTTATAGGCCTTCATTGCAATTTTCAGCATGTATATAACATGCTTTCAAACAGGCTTCCTCATGTATCTTCGAGCACAATAACTCTGTGCTAACATATGCTATAACCAATCATCAGTATTGAAAGTCTATTACTTTATCAAATATTTTAAGTAATATTTATGCAATGTCAATAAAAGCAATACAGAAATTCTTTTAAAACCTCATGGTTTATTTTGTGTATGATTCTGGAAGTATTGGTTCTAAAAAGTCATGCAGGATGTTTATTTCTTTGAGTAAAGCAGTGTATTTTATTTATCTGGATGTTTGTTTTGGTTTTCTTTAATTTAAACAGAGAATGGTGACTATTGATGTTTATTTCAATATCTGAATTAGCATAAATCTTCTCCACAAAGTCAAAAACAGAATGTTAATCCTGTTAATGTCTGATACAGAAAAAACAGTCATGCTCCTTAACCAGAGAAACAGATGAAGGGCCAAATCCTTGTGAAATGGTCAAACAACCTAGATACAGAAAAGGTCCTGATGTCTGTTTCGATGAAGCCAAACAGGTAAAACTGAACTTGTAAGACTTTAGGACTATCTTCAAAAGCACTTGTAGAACCATTTTAGAAGAGCAGTGAAAACTATGTTTAAATATACCTTGGTGCCTGGTAACTTATCTATCACTAAACATACTGTTCACTCTAGACCATAGCCACTCTGCTTCCAAGTATCCCATGATTAACATAAAATTAACAGCTGCTTTCTTATCTGCCTTTCCTATAGCCATTGAACTTTCACACATGATTCCCACTAAAACAAAAAAAACCCAGCAAGTATAAAACGGATGGTCTCTGTACAGTGCTGTCAAAATCAGTTCTGCTATGGCTTCCACAAATAGATAATAATCCTGGCTCAGAAGTAATATTTTATACTAGTATTTCCAAATATTATTTAAAGTGTTGATAACTGTTTTAAAAAATCTCGTTTAGGATATTATTCCTCTTAAAAATTCTTCAAATACGTATTTACCTTGATTTGCATTCTCAGCAGGTATAAAAGAGCATTGGTTTACTGAAATCATCAAAACTATGCTGTTTATTATTCCCTGTATGGTATGCATCACCAAACCTTCACAGTTTTGAAGGAAAGAGATTATAACTGCCATGTGTGCTGATTATTTCGAATATATTCTGTCTTACCTCTCAAAATATTTTATGAAAATGTTGAATTCAAAATGTTCAGTATAAATTTCAAGATAAAAAGTACTGAACATGTAAGTACCTGGCATTACATAAAATAAATATTTTAAAGTGCATTTATAATGCCTTATCCCATTTCTGCAAGGGAAAGATTGACCAAATCTAGTGCACTTAGTTGGATATAACTGCTTTATACCAATGCAAGGGGTTTTTTTTCAATATATTCTCTGCTTTTCTTTTCTGAGGCACATTTGCTGCAATGTCACTAATGTTACAAAAGTCCAGACAGCTGCTAATCAGTGCATTTTTCTTCAAATAACTAAATTTTACTTTAAAAAGGAAATCTTACTGGCCAGCAAAGTTTAAACAAAGTTGAAAAACCATCCAAAAACTATCTGGCCACTGTAAGTGTCATCCAAACCTTCCTGATAGGATTATGTGTGAAAGTACAACTCTTGCTCACTAGCTTGATGTGCTAATCAGTGTGTAAGTCATGTGTTCCGTAAGAGTGGATTGTTTTGGTTAAGTTTATTTGCAAAATTTGCTGTCAATCTCTTGCTCTTGGGTGGATGCTTTCACATTAACTCTGCTAACTGCAGCAATCTGCATGATATCTCATCTTGTGTGTCTTTTTTTCTGTGTTTTCTTTCCTTTCCTCTACTTGCTACTTTGCCCGTTATTAATAGGATCAGCCTATATGCACAACGAGTCGTGCCTCTGCCATGACGTCCGCTCCTATCTTCATTTTTCTGCAAGTTTTCATGTGGTGTGGATGGTCAGTTCCTTTCTCTAATTTTTTGTTTTGTTCTTGGCTTAAAAAATTAGCAGACTTTTTTACTTACTAAACATAACGAAAGAAAACAGAATGAAGCAAGTCCCAAAAGCAGCAATCCGGAGCAAATTACTGTTGCAATGTTAAGGGAAATTAAATATGAAAAAACCTTATCTGGAGCCTCATAAATCTGAATTACACAACACAAGGGCCTCTCCCATAGCAAATACAAAGACGTGGGAACCTGTTTGGTCAACCCTGAGACAGCACATTTACCGAGTCAGTGTCATTCCCTTAAGAATGTCTTTCCCTGTCCCTATTAAAATGAACAGAAGAAAGTTTTCTACACAAAGGTACAAAGTAATGAGGAGAGATTATACCTGCAAAAATAAAGCTGTCTGTAGGGATAGCAAGAATGAGGAAGCTTTGCTAATGATAAAGGAGTTTTCACTGCATTCACATTAATACAAATGTTAATGTTGGAAGGTAACAGTGAATATCAACTTGCTTAAACTGTGAGTTCATAAAATTATATTTTTACTTCCTATATTTTTGCAACTTGAACATACTCATTGCCTAATTGCAGCAAGTTTTTTCTTCTAATGAAATACACAGGTACCTGAAGTCCAGGTTACTGACCTATTGCAGACTCTGGAGCTCATAACAAAAGCCTTGGCATTTTAGACTGTGCTTCATTTAATGGTGTGAGGGTGCGCATTGCTGTGCTAGTGATATGTATTCAGGGAACTGCTGATCTAAAGGGAACAAAATTCATGACCTTTCACTTTATGCTGGAGGGGTTTCTGACCAATATTATTACTCAGAAAACCACTAGAGGGAGATACTAACATACCTATCAAAGTAAAGCAACTGGGAAGCAGAAATGGAAACAGGTAATTTATCAGAGTTAGGGTGGTAAAATATTTAAAATTGTAACAATTTAGAGCACTCATTTTCTCAATAATTTATATTATCTTTATACTTCGGGGAAGGTTCAATGAATAGCACTCAAACATCAGTGGAAAAAAGCTTCAAGTTGTGTTTAACAGCTGTATTTGAGTAATTTTGGAGTTTCCTATCCTGTATTTAAATGATGTAATTTCTAGCACACTTAGAAACTTGCACAACTATGGCTGAAGGTTTTAGAAAGGGTCAAAGTCCCTTCCCCCAAGACTGGTATTTCACATTAAAATCTGGAAGATTAACATCTCATATTCTTACTCATGCAGTTTGCTCTGTAAGTAACCTTGTTTTAATTAAAAAGCTACTGTCCAATGTACATAAAGCAGCAGAGACTCACCTTGAGCTGAATTCTTTATGCCCAAAATAAATGGTATTTCTTCTCAACCAAAATACTGGGAAACCCACAAAATATAATTTTAGTTGATAGATCTTTGGCAGCAGAATGTTATAAAGGTAGTTCTGTTCATTCCTTTTTTAATAATTTTGTGATTTTTGAAATATATTTTCACTGTACATTAATCTATGTAGTTTTATTAAAATCACTGAAGCCAACACAGATAGAAACTAGCTGATCAGGTTCAATAATGGCAGCTGGTTTGGTTTTTTTTTCGTCAAGGGTAACAAAGTAGTCTTTACCACCACCTTGAATGGCTTGCTCTTACTTTGTACATGCACTCTTTTTGTTTGCCGTGCCTGATAATAAGAACTCTACAAGTCTTTAGCCCTTTCTGGGAATGTCTTATTGCCATCAGCTCCCAGGGATGTCAGACAGAGGTTTGAGGGTGATTAGCAGCCCAGACAACTGTGTACATCTTTATGGGATTGGTTGTATCCCTGATCTACATGTGGGTGGCTGTACAGCTTTGACAGCTTTGCATTGTATTCCAACCAAAGGAGGGTAATGTATACTTATGAAAGACCATGCATTGGAACTTAAAATGGCTCTTGAGTAAAAGCAAAGGTCTGCTCCATGCAATATGAAGCATTTAAAATATATGCTTATAAAAGGTATAACTTTGAAGTAACCAGTTATGTCAAAGGCCAGATCAGAAGCTTTTTTGGCAGATATTGTTGCTTTATCCTTTGATTAAGGTTTCAAGACAAAGTTTTAGGACATTAAATAGTTACAGTGTGCTTCTAAAGGAGTAACAAGTATTTTTATAGACTTAAACCTGTATGTATATACATGTATGTGTGTATATATATGTTTGCATGTGTGTCTAAGACTTTGGACTGGCAGTGCTTTCAAGGAAATGTTGGTATATATCAATGAATAGTGGGTTTGATACTTAACAGTGAATATATGGTTTTACAAAAGCATTCATTTCCTTTCTGCACTTGCTGAATAATTTTCACAGTGTGATGGTGTAAAATAACCCTCTTTGGAGTTATCACAGTAAGGTATGACACGAAGGAGATGACATTTGGATTTGATGCTTCTATACCTCAATCATGCAAGAAAACTTGACATGTGAATTATTAATGCAAGAAATTTCTGATACACTTCTGATGAAATTAAACTGGCTAAAAAAGATTCTTTCCAATTTCTTTTATTTCTGTCTTCAAAGGGAAATAATATACTGAATATTATTTAGAAGACAACAAGAAAAGGACAACCCCAACTGATCTATTGGTTATTCAGGTTTTCTGTGTGACTAATGTAGTAGTGACTAATGCAATGAGCTGGACAATTTCAATAAAACTGCTTAAAAAAGTTCAGTGTCTAATTGCACTGTATGAGGTAGAGATAAGACAAAGATAAACTAAACTGATGCTGTGTAATCTGTTAAGAGATTTTATGAGAAACCTCAATAATAACAATTACAGGAAACAGAAGTTTTCTTAAATCTCAGGTAGAGTGGAAGTGTTTTCAAAGATGACATTTTGAAGACCATTCAAAACTGACATTTTCCTCAATCTGAGTGTGAAGAGTTACCAAGTCAGAACAGGTATCAATCCGAGTTAATGATGGGATCACATTTCTTGTAATTTTCACAACAGTTGAAGCACACGAGAAAATGACAATGTGCAATGCTGGGGAGAAAAAAGTAGTTTAGATAGGATTTACTGTACCTTCTTTGCCACTACTATTTTCGTCTTGGCTTAGGATACAAAGGAATAACTGGTTCCAGAGAGAATATTTAGAAATTGTTCTTGGCAGAACTGCTGGTTTACCATGGTAAATTGGTAAAACCTCAGAAATTCAGTTACTTTGATCATTAGTTTAAAATCTCACCAACCTTCAAATATGTGTATAAACCTTGTATACTTTTGTCCAGTAGAAATTTAACTGTCATTCATAAGAAGCTGCCTTCCCTGCATGAGGCTTCCAAGACATTCTCCAGTGTTGTGATGTTGTGAATCCTTTAAAAACTGCTCTGTGTAGTCTCAGGGAGAGAGCAAAAGATATTAAGATACTTATTTTTAGACCAATGAGAATATTACGTAGTATAACTGTTGAATGTAAAAGCAGTGGCCATAAATTGTCATATAGTTAAAAAAACCCTCACAACGAAAGAAAACCTCTCAAGAAGTGAATAGAAATGGGCAACAGAATGGATTTATTTTTTTTAAATACATTTAGTGGTAGGATTAATGAATGTATTTTTCCCAATATTTGGTATAATGCAGAGTGACATGAAAGCTGAGTACTGTATAATTATATATGTGGAGGTCCATCTACTCTGTATTTATCCTGGGTGCTGTTTCCACTATAATGATATTTTTCCCTTCATATTATGCACAAATTTAAGACCTTCAATTTACTTCTTTCTTACCATCCAGCCATTTCCCCTGTGTTGGAAAATTTTAAACCTTGTGCTTTTCTTTAGACTGTTTCTTCAAAGATGACTCTTCTAAGTAATTTCAGTGATAAGAATCATAAATACCAATAGGTAATAGAGTACTGTTCATTGAATTCATGTTAGAAGAAACTATTACTGATAATTCTGCTTCTGATGGTACTGTGTGGAAGAAACAGCAGCATTATTTTTAGTTGCTTTGAATAGAACTAAAACTACAGGACAAGACACAATGCAGATGCGAAAAAGTGACAGAGCCAAATTAAATAAACCAGAAAGTTCAGTGCATCTTCAAATGTTAGCATCCTACTCCAAATCTGGTGCAGCAGAGTTCATTTATGACTTACTTTTGACCGTAAACCTTAGGAATTTTGGACTTGCAGAGTGGACTCAGCTAAAAAAAAAAAAATAAAAGCCTAAGCCAAAATTATAGAACTAAGTTACAAAGCTAATAGATCACAGAGACATGTCTGGAAATGGCTACTATTCATAATGAGTGGCAGCTAACATGAGCTGTTTGCTTTAGGAGAGAATGAAATTACTATGTTTTTTTTCTGCCTTTTTTTTTTCTTTTTTATTTCCCTGAAGAACTTGAATGCAGGATTTTGTTTTGTTTTGGCTTGGTTTGATTTGGTCTGGGAGGGAGTTGTGTTTTTTCTTTACATCCAAGTTTCTAAAAGAGACTGTTGGTGAATGCTTTATTTTCTGCTGACTTACTGAGTCTAATTTGACTGCTGTATCTGATTTCCATGTATTTACTCCAAACTGATTCCGATTCCTATCACCTGTCCACCTTAAGGAGAATACATTGTGTGTAGTGGGAATCTCATTAAGGTCCTTGCCCCTTAAAACTGACACAGAGAACTCACTGAAGTCCTTTGCTATGCTCTGTGATTCCCAAGTTCCCTCTTTACACCTCTGTTACCAAGCAGTTGCCCTAACTCCATATTTGGCTTCATGCTTTTGATTTATTTGAAACTTTCCATTATCATTTTCAGCATATTTTGCAGGGAGGTCATAAAAAAAATCTTTATCAGCATTCTTAATTTCCTGTTTATATCTAATCATCCATTTTCATGTGCTCTCCCATTCTTGTCCATTTGAGTAAACTTATTTTCTTAAATACTGACCTTTTCCCTATGATTGTACTTAATTTCCCTACTGATTCATGCAGGGGTGTTTCTTTAGGTTGCTGTGTTTCGTTTATTTTGGGGGGTGTAATTTGTTGGTGGCTGGATTTTGGGAGGGAGGAGGGTGGTGAGGGTTGGGTGGTTAATTGTTCTAATTTTGGCATTCATTTTACCTGGATTTTTAAAATGATATTCCTAAATATCCTTCTGGACCTCTTGAGGTACTTGCTTTTTGAGATGATGCTTCTATTGCTTTTTTTTTCTGCTTTCTGCTTTTTGTTGGTTAAAGTGGGTTTTTTTCTGTTTTCTTGAGTGTGTTTGTTGTTTTGGTTTGGGGGGTCTTTTAACTGCTTTTGGTAATTTTCACCTAGTTCCCTTTTTTGAAATTGGTATCTTTTAGCTTGGATTTGTTTGGTCTGGTCTCTCACATATCAAAGTAAATCCTATTGCATTGTGACCTACTAGAGCTATACAGAGCAGCTGTCTACTAGTGATTTTGAAGAGGGCCCCATACACCAGCAAAGATTCAAATGCTGTTTATTCCAAAAGACAGTCATTTATCATATCCAAAAATATGATCTCTACATCTCTTTTTGATAAATCATCGATCCAGTTTATACATGGCTTTTCTAATCTCACATAACATTTCATAAATGATATTGTCACTTTGACAGGGTGCTCAGCAGTGCAATTCTAGTATTAAATTTTGGTTATTAAACTCTGATACTTCTTACCCTTACACAGATTCCATGACACTTTCCTTTTCCTATAATACTTTTATGCTATGACACTTTGTATTATCCTTTAATACTTTACATGCTTGGGCTGTATGTCCTATGCTGCCAGTCTTACAGATTTGGTAGCCTGGCAATGCTCTGTGCTACTGATTAATTTCCTTCCAATAGTAGCTCTGTGCTACTGATTAATTTTTGATATGTGTATTCTATTGGGATGGTTCATTAATAACTTGTCTTCATTCCCCCATCTTATGTTCCTAGCATTAGTGTAGAAGCACTAGAAAGTTTTGCTTAAGGATGTGCCAATAAATTAAAGGTGTTTTACTGACCCTTCCATATTTATGCTGTTTGTACTTTTTATCCCTAACCCCCACACCCTCTTCTGAGACACGCTGAGTATTAGTTACATGTGCCTCAGTGGCATGTCAGTCTGACTCAGGGGCTGTTCATGTCCATTGGCTCTCCTCTGCTTTAATTTCTAAAGCCTTTTTAATGTGTGTGCAAACAGGTGGGCTCTGTTATTGTTAAGGTGCAGTCTGTCCTTCCCTGCGCATGTTCCTTCTGTTCAAGAAGTTTTCCCAGTTCTTACTGTAAAGTCCCTTACCACTTACACTGTTTGTCTTGCCGTTGGAGTCTCGAGATCCCTTGGAAAATGGAAAGTGTCTGTTTATATTGTGGGTACAGAACACAATGAAAACAAGAGGAACACCAGGTATTTTCAGCCTTCAGATCTACCTGTGCAGGGAATTGCTGGAACATTGTCCTGGTGTTCTAGGCAGCTAGAAACAAGAAAGTGTGAAGAGTTACTAAGTCAGAACAGGTATCAAACCTATTTCAGCCAGACTAATGAGTAACTCCACAATGTGAAAGATACTATGAATTATAGGCAGAGTGGGACTCGCCAACAGCAATTAATAGTAAAAAGGAATGGGGAAAAGAGGTGTGATTGCTGTGTGGTATAATGAATAGTTAGGTCCACTGATGCATGACAGAGTGGTGCAGCTCAGAGCAAGTCCTCAAGACGGAGAGTGTCTTGTCCAGGGACTGCATCAAATGTGTACAAAAAGCCAACAGAAAATTTGTTTCTTGTGCTTAAATACAGCATCAGAGACAGAGAAAGGATTTTCATTCTGTATGCTCATATCTCCACTGCATATTCATCTTAATGTGTGACCATGTTGATGAAACAGACATGAACATATTCTGGTATTCACTTTCTAATTCTTAAAAGATATCTGTTTTTCCATCTTTCCTCACAATAAAGTGATACTCAAAATCTCCAAACTGATGTAATTTTCAGGAATATAGGTGTGGCTTATTGGGCCCAGCTGGCATATCCTATAGCATTTCTTGTTTGATTGTATCCCATCTAGTTCATAAGTGACTGCAGTAAGCCTTGTAGGTATTTAGTCCTCCCATGTAGCATTGCCACTCTCAGTATAAAAAATCAGCCAAACTTACAGGAATTATTTTGGTGTTATTTTAGGCAAAATAATATGTATAAGACCAAAAAGATGCCTCAGGAATAGTTCAGAATGTTGAAGGCTAAAGCGTAGATTACTTCTCAGGAAATTTAATCATAATTAATTTTAAATGATTTCTTCTTTTCTTGTCAACAGGAAGATTCAGCTGACTGCGGTGGTGCCTCTGGTCTGAGTCCATCACTGTGGTCTATGGTAGGAATTCAGTTGGTCCTGCTTTGGCTGTTATCTGGCAGCAGACACTACCAGTTATGACCTTGCTAAACCAAAACCTGCATAACTTAATCAAGACCCTGCCAAAACGATAGCCTCAGTTTCATTTTAAAAGGGTCAGCTATTCAGACAGCAGCAGAACAGCAGTGCTTGTGTCTGGTTATCACTCGGTGTGAAACTCATAAAGGCACCCACGGTGGCTGCATGTTGGAGTGTCAGATCCTTAAACGTGTGTGAATGCTGCACCATCTATGCCATCTAAACAGAATTCTGTATGTGCTCCATTGGGGAATCTAAGATTATTTTTTCCTTTTGTTTGTTTGTTGTTGTAATCTTGATGACTTCATGTAAAAGGGCTCCCCTGACAATAGCTTATGTATATGACTTTTATTTCTTTTAAGCTTTGGATATCTTGAAGATTTATATTCTTTTACATAAACAGTTATTAAAAAAAAAAAAAGAAAAAGAAAAAAGAAAACCTACTCCCCAATCTGCACTACTAGCACCATGATGGCTGCTTTGAGCATCAGTTTTGTCCAAACTAGCTGAGTAAAATGAAAATATTGGCTAGTCATCAGAAGGTCAGCATGATTTCAACACTTGGTGATGAGTGGGTTATTCTTCTGAATGAATCATGTAGCCAGCTAAGGTAGGCTGATAAATTGTTAGTTTGAAGGAAGGAAGGAAGGAGGGAAACTTCTGGTTTTAAAAATATAAAGGTGCTTGAGAGTTTAACTAAAAAGTGATTCTTATCTTAAACTTGATGTCATCCTCTGTCGGAAAAAAATTAATTTCAGTGTAATGTTCACCTCCTTTTCACGATACAGTGATGCATAAAGCTAGTAGAATTCTTCAAAGGCTCAAAGAAAAATGCTTGTGAATAAAAACTGTCTTTGTGATATTTGAACATTGGTTTCCAAGGGTATTTTGCATGATGATGATGCTATGTTATTGTTTTTCAGTTTGTTTTCTTTGATGGTAGAGTTTAGTCCATTGAAAAGGTAAATGAGTGATTCTGTTATTGTGTGAGAAACTGAACATTGCAATGTGTTGCAATCAGATCATTAAATTATAAAACAGAGCTCTGAATATACTGTGTAATGAAAAAGCTGAGAAAATAGGGTAAATTTAGCTATCGTAACAAAAGGGTTGAGTTGGATATTTTACAGATTAGTGATCTCACATGAAAATCTGTGTACAGATATTTTAAGTATATAAAAATCAGATTTAACACATTTATTTTTGGAAGTATGTGTTCTCTAAGGTTCATATCAGGTTCCCCCTTTGTTTCCTTCATATAAATACCCTCATAATATTAAAACTTCTGCTGTTGCTATTTACTATTGAAAATGGCATATTTAACAGCAAAATGCCCTGGTTTCTGAGATTAGAAAAAAACAAATGGGGAGCCTTGAATCTATATGTATGCACATTGATACTTGATTGTGAATAATACTTTTAGAAGTTGTTTTTATACAACCTCATTGGTGATACAGATTGGTGCAGTAAATTACAATATTACAGTGTAGCATAGTGTTGATGCAAAATATGATTTGCGCTTTTTTTCCTAGTTTTCAGAACTAAACAGTATTGCAAGACAGCTAAACCAATGAATGTGTAACTCTGCTGGTATTGTACAATTCTGCTAACAACTGCAATATGCAAATATTAACATGGCACAATACACTAGCTCTTTAAAAAAATAAGCTGCAAAGCATTGGTATGTATATGCTGGCAATTGATCGATATAATTTTAATCATGCCAAAAGCTTAAGGAAATAATTGGGCATGCGTTAGTATCCTATGAAAACCGAAGAAGCTACTGGAAGCCATGGTATGGCTTTAAAGATCAGATGTCTACTGTAGTGGTACCCATGGCTGGTTTGTTCTTTTTCTCACATATCTTGGCTCCAGCTGTGTATTTTCTTATGTGTGAAATACAGCAAGTGAAAAAGTAAAACCTGACCTTTTGTCCAGCAAACAGATTTAGCTTTTAAAGAAAAAGTATCTCTGGTAAAGTTATGGGGTTAAAAGGACAATTAATTGTGTTGGATGACTTAAGGTCCTCCTCAGGGAAGGTGAGCTAATTTTGATAATATGGATAATAATAACAATAATCTTGGAGCTCTTCATTCCAGTTCTGTAACTGCATTTCTCTTCACCCTATCACTGGTCACCGTCTCATAAACAGTTAATTTCAGTCTTTGTAATTCTGAGACTGCATCCTGTATTTTTCCTTAACATGGTCAATAAAAATTTTATGGGAGGAACAAATTTTGTAGCATTAGGCCAATGCTTACTACACTCATTGAATTTACTCTAAGATTACTTAAAATATACATTAGCTTGCATTTTGCTCTGTTAATTTCTTGAGAGGTTGTCAGTATGTTGTCCTCTATAGTCTTCACTTAGCTTCCCAAGAGCATGGAAAATTTATGTTAATTAACACTTTGTAACAAATTGTTTACATTGGCAGGCTGTATTTTGAGTTACTTAATATTTGATTAGAGCATATAGGTAGAAAGGTGGCAAAAATCTGTTCTGCCACAGAACATGACTGTGGCTTTTTCTCTCATCCAACTTCCCTTAGACTGCTCAAATACAAAAGGAGGGAGAAGCTCGTGCCATGCAGATCCATCAGCCTTCTTGGGTTATCCAGAGAGGGAAATGTCCTTTGCTCCTCTCCTCTGTCCCTTTGTATGACCTGAGGAAACATGTTTCTGTATGAGCACGTAGCTTTCCATTATACCCATCTGATAGAAAAATCAGGATCTGGCCCTCGCAGGAGGGCTTAGTATATTCCTCACATAATTCAATTCTTTAAAAAGGGGAAATAAGACGTTTTGGCTTCTTTCTGCAGAAAGTAATCTATATTTTGATTATATCCAAGTGAGGGTCAAGATTCTTTATAGTGCACTACCTAGATATCTGCAAATTACAAAACACAGATGGAAAATACAATGTGAACTCTAGCTATCTCAGTCTGTTAGAAATAAGTTGCATGAACAAATACATATCCTCATGCAGAAAAGTATTCTTACTCTCGCATAATGCATAATAGTCATCTCTTGTCTATGAGAGAAGAAATTTGATCCAAGGCTTTAAATTGAGATGTTTTCAAGTCACAATATGTTGTAAAAAAGGGGCTTTTTGTTTTAAAGCCAGATAAAAAGATCTGTTGATCTTTGCTTGGATCCTTTAAATAGTACTAAGGGAACTGTTGGGACTGTTTCAGTTCAGAAGTCATGCAGCCTATTGTATGTCTGACAAATAACCACCACTAAAGTTTTTACAGCATGGTACTTTGCAAAACATGATCTGAGGATTTAACATGAAAGGTTTCTTTGTAGTTTTTCATTTAAACAACCAGCATTACTGCCAAAACACTGATTGTGGTCCATATTTGTAATAGGTTTTTAACATGACACAGCAGGTTTGAGTGACAAGATTTTTAGGTCCTGTACCTTTAAGATTTTAGTATGATCTTTTTCATGTTTCTAATGCTTGAGGCTTTACTGCTTGACTTGACAAAAAACAGTGTTGCTGCCATTTGTAAGTTTTCCTAGACTATTCCTTTTACTAACTTAAAAACTGGCCTTACTGGGTTCAAATAGGCAGTATCCCTTTTAAGTGACCTTTGCAACCCAAGTGTTACTTGCTGTGGTTCAGTATCACTGAAGAGACATTAAGACCTTTTGTTCCCATTAACACTTAAGCTCAGAAAATGTTCTTAGTTTGTCTTAATTTCAAAACACCACCTCAGTCCCAGTGGTCCTAAAAATTCGGTTGCTAGCACACTGGTTATTAAGAAGTACATTAATGCCTACAAGGCACTGCAACACACTTGGGTGTTTTGGGAATGTAAACTGAAGGTGAAATCTTAATAACTCCTTCCTTAGGATAAATTTTACCCTTGTTCCATCAGACATCCGCGCCTTTAACAAAGGCCAGATTTATTATGATTTTTTTCATACCACAATGTTAATATTGTTAATACTCATTGTAAACTATTGTACAAAGATTAAAACAAAGTGTCTGAAAGCAATTCAAGAGTTTTGAAAAGTTAGCCTCACCCTCTTCCCAGCTACTTGCATCTGTCCTGTTTATGGTTTAAAAGAAAAACATCATCATGAAGAAATAATTTCACTGAGGCTAAAGGGATACTGTCTTGTTCAGATGCCATGAATTGTGATTGTGATCTGAAAAAGCTGTCTTCTCTTCTTGTGTTGTATGGAATGTCTGCATCATGCTTTCTGGGATATTTTTATTGAAATGCTCCATCTGCATTTCTGCAAAAAGAGACTTGGTTGCTCTCCCACGGCAGTCAGGTCTTTCTCCCTTTTCTTGTGTTCTCTTGACACTTTTGTGGAACTTGACAAGCCTGGAAAAACTGATTTTTTTGTAAAAATTTGTACAATAATGTTATAAAAAGTTTATAATCCTAGAACTGTTGTGTTAATTCTTGTGCAAAAACAGTATATTCAGAATAAAAGTTTATCATTTAAAATCAACAGCTTTGATTGTTCACTCTGCATAATACAAACATGTAAATAAGGGCCTATATAATTTGCTCTATAATACTTCTGAGTGTGCTATAAATTTGCACCCAAGTGTCTGAAAGAGAATTACTTTTCAGCATGGAGACAGTGACTTAACACAGTTCTTGTTTGGGGTGCAAAGGAGGGTGTGCAGCAAGCCCTCATTTTTACTTCATTTGTGGCCATGAAAAGTTAAAAAAAATGGGAAAAAAAAAAAAACAAAAACTGAGAGTCTGTTCAGCACTGAGTAAAAGAAGAGTCTGCAAAGCATCTGTGGCCCTGTTGTTCTGCAACAATTGCTTTTGGAAGGATTGTAATTTACTAACTTGTAAACACTGATGAAGTCCAAGGGTTCATCCACATGGAGACACAGAATAAAATCAGATGGCTCAGATACAGAGGTGGGTGCTGCACAAGTTGTTGCCCCACCTCTGAACAAAGATTGCTGTGTGATTTATGAAACCGCTTTGTTGCTGCTGCCATTCTCAGCTAAGCATTAAACTCAGTGGATCTATGTACCTTAATAAACAGCCTTGGGGTGTTCGGGAGTTGCTTCATTGGGTTTTCAGGCTTACTGCAGTGGTGCTGGCAGCCTCCATCAGAAGGGCAGGGCAGATAGCTGCAAGTTTTAGGAGCCTGATTTTAATCCTTGACTGCCATTGTGTCAAAGCCCAACAGAGTGGCAGGAGCAGATTACTGCTGGATTTACTGAATCCCTGAGGAGTCAGATAAGAGAGTAAGAAATCAAATACAGATTCTAATGCTGCAAAGTAACAGGTTTCCCATGTGGAAATGCTGCAAGGCCCTGCATGACACTGAATACCGACATCCAGAGATCACCAGCCCCAACTAGATTAAACATCACTGCCTAACTACATGATTACGTCCACACGCTGAACTCATTGTACCATGTTGTCTGTATGCTGATTGCCATTGAGATGTAGAAATAAATAAAACCCAAAAATCCCTTCCTGGTACACTTTAATTTCTGTATTACAATACACAAATCACTAAGTACCAGGAGTTGACAGTCTCAGAAGGCACAGGGTTTCTTCCCCTATGTCTGGAACATACAAGCATCTTTGACTTCATCAGTTTGATTTGGGAATGGCTGCATTGCAGTGAGATATTCTGTACTAGTCCTGGTGCAAATCAAGCCAGAATACACTTGGCCTGTCATACCCTATTATTTTAAGAGATGACTTCACATTGTCCAGTGCAGCTCTCTTGCTGCTAGCCATCCATGAAAATCAAGATGTTATATAACACTGATGCTGTAAAACCCCTTCACCATCATATCTATTAGTCCAGTGCTCCCTGTAATGCTTGACTGAATAAAATGCATGTCCTTCGTGGTACAGCATTTCCCCTGCCTGTTGCATAAGACTTTGAAAGGAATGTCTCCATTTCCAACAGGCTTTTGGGAGCCCAGAGCATATATGGGAGGAGGGAAGGAAAATGAGACTTTTTGAGGAGAATGATTTTAACTAAATTCTAACTGTATTTCCTCTAAATGTTTGATATGTATACAGAACAGAACTACAAACCTTTCAGTAAAGTCTTTCCTTTTAACAGAACACCGACAACTGTTTCTTTTTGGGTTTTCTTTGGATCCCACAAGCATTTTCTTGACCATCAGTGTACATCCCGTGTTTTGTAGAACAGATATTTGAACATGGTAGCCAGTGTTTCTCTTGGGAAAATAGTAAACATGTTTGTGATTTATCTCACCTAACTGTAGTTGCTGACAATCAGTCATGAGTTCACTCTGCAGTGAAGAAAGAGAGTTCAGGAGCTTGCTCCATGGGCTGCTGGTCCTGCCCAGGCTTTGACCATCTGCCTTAATGACCAGAAGGTGGATTCTTAAGAAAGAATTATCACATTAAGTAAAAGCTGCATCTGCTACTTAATACATTACTTTCATGTTTAGTTTTTCATAGCTTCTTATTGCTGCTGGTTTCTGACATCTGTTTTGAGACGAGAAATATGAAGTACAGGACTTCAGTGGTATTCACTCTTCCTTTTCAGAGATTATTTCAATTATTTTTTCAGTCACTGAATTAATTATTTCACAAACAAAATGTGTGGAATCGGGAATGGAAGCTATCTCAGAATTTCCATTTTAACTTGGCTGCTTTAACCCAGACTCTTTTTGCAACCCAGACTCTTGTGATCTCAGCTTCCATTCTGTGGCTTGATTATTTAAAAATCCATTTTTGGAGCATTGTAACACACACACACACACACACTACGGAAAGGGTAATTAGCCTGCTTCAAACATTGACTAATAGTAGCATGTTTTGGTCTGTGTGGTTAACATGTATTATTCCTGTAAACTACTTTGAGAGTCCAAACAATTAATATTCACTATGGTGAGGGTTAGTCAGTTTGCCGTATAAGCTCTTACATCTTCAGGAATCAATTAGCTCTAAAAGAAAATTGCAGGCAACCGTGATTCATCATTTCCTGGAAACATACTGTAATACCTAATTTCAAATGGCCAGGGAATTTGGAGCATTCTCCTGTCCTTCTTACCTGTAGCCTGCACAAAGAATAAAAAACTCCATATAATGGCAGGGTTTCCTTTTGACATCTTTTCGGAATTTCAGCATGAGAAATAAGAGGCATAAGGATTTTGAGAACCTGGGGCTAAATCCTTTGCAGTGGGATTCAGAGGTGAGCACTGGGTGTCTGTGTTCCTAGGCTGATCAGTGGAGATCCATGCAATATATTCAGTGGAGGAGGGAGAATTATTCAGATGCCCTACCACTGATTGCAGTTACAGCTGCACACGCAAGCTTTCTATTGAAAATGAGGCATGAGCATGCTAGATCCAGAGAAATACAGACCAAGCAGTGGAGATGGATTAATTCAAAACTTGACTCTTCTGTTTTGCTGGATCAATAGGCTCTTAAAATCTGGGCTCAGTAAACTTCTCCTAAGGGAAGACAGATGTGAAATTCAGACTCTTAGCTACCAGAGAATGATACAGACTTTTGTCTGCTTTAAAAGCTATTGCTATGCAGACATAGCAGAAGAGATGCCAAACTCCAGGTCCTGAGAGAAGCTTGTTTGGTGGCTGTGGCTAGAGTACAGTCTGGGCCAACTACTTTGGAAGGAATTCACTTCCAAAGTAGAAGAGAGGTAGTGGTGGTGGTGAAGGGGATGTTAGTCATCTTTTTCATCATCTGCTTCTACTTAAAGTACTTGTCCCAAAAGTGTAAACTATGTTTCTAATCTGTCTTTATCTATGGGAGAAAGAATCAGCACTTACAGAGACAGCAATGAAATCTGGCCTACAAGCTAGATGGCTACCTTGGTTAGTCTTGCCATCAGGCTGTTGAAGAAAGGCCTACAATAAGCAAAAACAAAGCAGCTGTAAAATGTTATTTTACTTTTTCTTTGTTCTTTTTTTTTTTTGGAGTTATTATCACTTCATTATGGCATGAACCCCAGCTTTGGGCTTGGCTATTGCTTGGAAAATTTGTTACTTATAGATTCAACGAAAAATGTCATATTTGCTTGTGATGGTATCCAACTTTTCATAACCCTCCACCTGAGGCAGTAGCATGGAACAGCAGTGGTGACAGATCTTTTATTTTGAGGATCAGCCTACACTGCTTTAGCTGCCAGATCATGGTATGGCAAAGGAAGTTTCTTTTCTTGATCTTGCCTTGCTTTGCAACCAGCGTAACATGGCCAAGAAGAAAGCAAATAGGAAAGTAATTTGCAGCTGCAACAGTGCAGAGAGTGCACATCTGGCACCACAGTAGTGGCTGCTACTCTCCCTGCTGTGTATCTGCCAGGTTAAGGGGAATACCAGGCTTTGTCATCACTACCTGATGATTCTCTGGGAGTTATTGGAAGGGCTGTACACCTAAATCACAGAATCATAGAATCATAGAATAGTTAGGGTTGGAAAGGACCTTAAGATCATCTAGTTCCAACCCCCCTGCCATAGGCAGGGACACCTCACACTAAACCATGTCTCACAAGGCTCCATCCAACCTGGCCTTGAATACCGTAAGGGGTGGAACATTCACAGCTTTCCTGGGCAACCCATTCCAGTGCCTCACCACTCTCACAGTAAAGAACTTCCTCCTTATATCCAATCTAAACTTCCCCTGTTTAAGTTTTAACCCATTACCCCTGTCCTGTCACTACAGTCCCTAATGAAGAGTCCCTCCCCAGCATCCCTATAGACCCCCTTCAGATACTGGAAGGTTGCTATGAGGTCTCCACGCAGCCTTCTCTTCTCCAGGCTGAACAGCCCCAACTTCCTCAGCCTGTCTTCATACGGGAGGTGCTCCAGTCCCCTGATCATCCTCGTGGCCCTTCTCTGGACTTGTTCCAACAGTTCCATGTCCTTTTTATGTTGAGGACACCAGAACTGCACACAATACTCCAGGTGAGGTCTCACAAGAGCAGAGTAAAGGGTCAGGATCACCTCCTGCGACCTGCTGGTCACACTCCTTTTGATGCAGCCCAGGATACGGTTGGCTTTCTTGGGCTGCAAGTGCACACTGCTGGCTTATGTTCATTTTCTCATTGGCCAGCACCCCCAAGTCCTTCTCCGCAGGGCTGCTCTGAATCTCTTCTCTGCCCAACCTGTAGCTATGCCTGGGATTGCTCCCACCCAGGTGTAGGACCTTGCACTTGGCATGGTTCAACTTCATGAGGTTGGCATCAGCCCACCTCACAAGTGTGTCAAGGTCCCTCTGGATGGCATTCCTTCCCTCCAGCGTATCAACCCAACCACACAGCTTGGTGTCATCGGCAAACTTGCTGAGGGTGCACTCAATCCCACTGTCCATGTCAGCGACGAAGATGTTGAACAAGACCGGTCCCAACACCGATCCCTGAGGGACACCACTCGTTACTGGTCTCCAGCTGGACATTGAGCCATTGACCACAACTCTTTGTGTGCAGCCATCCAGCCAGTTCTTTATCCACCGAGTGGTCCACCTATCAAA